GAGCCGTAGGTTAGGAAATAATAATTTCAGTATTAAATTCGTAGGTAACAATGCGTCTATGCTGATGGCGTTAGGAAACAAGACGAAAAAACGAACTAATACAAAAATGTCCCCATGCACTGGAGGCAATAACCCTGACAAACAGGGTTACTCTACAGTGGATCGCTCGGCAATGATGCTGCCACCGAGCTTGCAAGAGGATCCGGCTGACCCGTACTGGATTCTTTCATTGCCCTTCTCGCAATTGCTAATGCTGGATTCGCCAAACATTCACAGAACTCCAAAATCACCGTTAGTCGCAGAATGCGGACTGTCCAAAATGGCGCACTGCTAGCAGCAAACCTGCTAGTGACAAAGCGACTTCTAAGCCTCAACAGAATTAATCTCATAATAATGATAGGGAAATTTACGGGGCACGGGTTGTACTATAGGTACTATTAAAATATTTGAATAAAAAGGAGGACAACTGGCCGCCTAATCGCTTTTAAGCAATCTCTTACCCCTTGGCCACAGTCACCTGCGGCGCGGTTTGCGGCGCGCAAAGCGGCGCGCAAAGCGGCGAGCGGCAAAAACAAATTGAGAAAATTGTATGAAGTATGCCACAGCTATCGGCGACGCGCATTGTGGTGCGACCTGCGGCGCGGTGGCACCCGCGCGGTGGCGGCGGCGGGGGTCTGCGCGGCGTGCGAGTGAATCAAATGCACTCAAGAGTATCGAGGCGGCCACAGCTAAGAGCGGCGCGCGCCGCGGCATTGGTGGACGCATTTAGCATCGCGCGACCAAAACAAATAATTTTGTTTTTATCGCGCATTGAGCTCATATAAAATAATGGATACAAAACAATTTATTAGTGCAATACTGAGTAGACCAGCAATATGGATGTCAAAACATCCACATCATAAATATAGGCATGTTATAAAAAAAATTGTGGGACGACTAATAAAACTAACTAATATACTCTAAATATTGGCGCCGCGGTCGCAACTGGTCGAGCTGTGGCATACCACCGCAAACCGCGCCTCTCGCAGACCCTCTTGCCGCGCCGCGCTCCACACCGCCAGAAACTGTGGCCAATCTCTTAGGCAACCAATGTGTGAAAAAAAATAAGTTAGGGTATGCGCAAGAAGTGCAAAAATACATGACATTTAGTTATTTAGACAAAACTAATGGAACAAAGCAAAGCTTTTTTTTTTAATTAAACACATGTTAAAAGGTACAATAATAAAAAAGGCCACATGAATTACGATAACTTTATATAATTTAAAAAAATATGACTAGTTAATCTGTAGAACCTGTTTGACATGTAGATAACGATACCATAAGTCCATAGGTGTGTCGCATTCTATGTTAATTCGTCGCCATAACTGATCAATGATGAACATGCTATACGTCATTTCATTAATGAATGTGGCAAATGAGATTACAGAGAATCAATGAAGGAAAATTATGCATTATTAAGACAGCAAACATTTATAGAAGTTAAATAAAAATCTGTTAGAAGAATTTATTAAACCTTTAGGCAAAAATTTATCGAGTTAAGTTCGGTGACGGTTGTTGCAGATATGTTAAATTAAACACTTTGTTTGACGCTGGGTAACAACTGGCTATAATCGTTTAAAACATGAGCTTATAGCTTATAACATTAGGGGTAGTGGGGTTGCGACGCTGGATTAACAAATCTAACTTGCCTTATTGAAGAGTTCGTAAATCTAAGTGACATGTTATTAGACATTATCGGAAACGAGAATGTTGAAATACAATTTATGAGTGTGGTAAAAACCAAAGGGCTACAAGTGTGCGATGATTGCTTAAATTTTTTTTACGTTTTTACTTATTTATTTAAATATATATGTTATTTAATTAAAGTTAGGATACATAACTCTCGAAAGTTAATCTCGTCTTTTTATAAACGGTGAGGAATTGAATCTGGATGATACAACTGTATTTCTCGGAATCACCATGGATTCAAAACTTCAGTGGTCCCCTCATATTAACGGATTGGCGAAGAGACTTAGTTCTGCAGCCTACGCGGTTAAAAAAATTCGCTCACTAACTGATGTCGATACAGCTAGACTTGTTTATTTTAGTTACTTTCATAGCTTAATGACTTATGGCTTATTATTATGGGGTCATGCTGCTGATGTCGAAACTATTTTCATCCTGCAGAAGAGGGCTATTCGTGCAATCTATAATTTAAAATGTAGGGAATCTCTTAGAGATAAATTCAAGGAAATTAATATACTTACCTTTCCCTCGCAATATATTTATGAAAATATTATGTATGTATACAAAAATAGTGATAAGTTTACTAGAATAGAACATACGCACAATGTTAATACACGGAACAAACGCAGGCTGCAATTTCCCCGTACTAGACTATCTAAAGTTAGTAATTCTTTTTTTGGGGAAAGGGATACTCTTCTTTAATAAAATCCCAGAGGCTCTTTTATCACTGCCTTTCAATAAATTTAAGAAATGTATTAAAGAAAAGCTGTGTAAAAAGGCTTACTATAAAGTCAACGATTATCTAGTTGATAAAAGGGCCTGGGACTAGTGCTAGACAGGCTACTTCTAATCAATTTGCGATATTTGTTTTAAATAAGTGTTGTTTGATGATTTGCTGTTTTAAAAGAGTACCGAGAGTTTTTTACGCCGGCTTTTTCTCTCGGCCTACACCCTCTGTCTTCATTGCCGATGAGTAGGGATGCCTTCAAATTTAATGACGTGGAATAAGTGATACATGTATCTTATGTTCCATAATAAACATATTTTTTTTTATTTAAGGTAATTTGCCAAATAAAAAAAAAATCAGCGACACAACCTTTTTAGATCTGTGCCTCAGATTTCTGTATTTGTTTCATGATCATTTTTCATTTAAATACACAAGATCAGCCTCCTGTGCCTGACTCATGTCGACATTTTGGGTGTAAGGCAAGCCTGTTTCCTCACGATGCTTTCCTTCACAGTTCGAGCGAACGTTAAATGCGCACATAGAATGAAACTCCATTGGTTCACAGCCGGAGCCCGGAACCTACGACCTCAGAGTCGTCTCATAGTCGCACGCTGTAGCCATTAGGCCAACACTGCTCAAATTGCTACTTTTACTTTTTATATATATACAAAGACAATGTAGAATATAACTAAAAAGGTCGGAAGGGTCGTGCCAGCTATCATCAGCTGCCAACAAAATATTACACGGACGGTGGACCTCAATTTGTGCCTTTTTAATTATTTAAAGGCCTTTTGATACAGCCCCTAAAAATGATTGTTTCGAAAGGAAACGAAACTGCTCCTTGTTATATAGCAAGTCACAAAATCATAATAGATTCTCAAAATAACAATTATTTGTTTAAATGGAATATAAAGGAAGGAATTATTTAGACTTTGCATATAAAATACGTGTAATTGTGAACCGTGACTGTGATCAGAAAATTTCTAGGCTAACAAAATATTTTGGCAAGCCTAGCACCTAGTTTAATCCCTTTAGTGGTTTTTAGGCGTTTTCCGTACTTTTAAATAAAAAAAAATACTAAGATAATAAGTGTTTTTAGATAGAAATACTAAGACTTTTCAATTTAAGTGGTCAAATCTAATATATTTCAGAGAAATCGGTGGTTAAGGATAAAAACGATATACAAATATGAACCATTTTACCTACAACTGTTTATGTACAGTTAGTTGGGATATATTGTATAAGTACTCTCACAATTAGTAGGTTTGGGATTAGCGGACCATGACGGAGTAGAATGACTCGAAAATTGAATGGAATAAAGCTAGCTAAGGTCGTCAAACATAGGATTGTAATTCTAAATTAATCAAAATTTGTTTCATTGTTCAATAAATCTTTTAAATATTGTAGATTTTTAAAGATATGTTATATTTATTTACAATCTTTCACTTATAAGGTAAAGTCAAGTTTATTAGTTATAGATTTAATGTTTTGACAATAATTTATAAGAGGCGCTAAATTTCACTCTGGTATGTCATCTATATATTGGCATTTGACAAATTGGAGTTATAAGTCGCACATAGTTGTTCCTTATCTGAGCCAGACTTTCTTACACTAACAAGCTACCTTTAAATTACTGTTATTGTTGACCTCCTGAAGCTGTGTTATGCCAGGAAATTATCGAAAAATTTGAATAGTAGTTTTAGTTTTGCAATGTCATTTTGATTATATACTTATTAAAGGATTTTATTTAATAAATATATTTGACGGTAACAATTCTTACATGCAACATTTAAGAGTATGACAGAATAACAAAAATACTAAATTAGTTAAACAAAGACTTGATTTACAATTTTCTATACAAAGTTATCCAAATGTAAATATTTAATTAAAAATATGTAAATAAAAAAATGTGCCCTAGAATTAAAATTCAAATATAATTCTTAATCTTTATACAGGTATCATAATTTGGCTCATTGGTCTAGTGGTTAGTACCCCTGACTGCAAATCCATTAGTCCCGGGTTCGATCCCCGGCTGAGACAAACATCGATGTCATGAGCATTTTGGTGTTGCGCTTAGGTCTTGGGTGTTTAAATATGTATTATATGTCTATCTATCTATAATATGTATGTATATCCGTTGCCTAGTACCCATAACACAAGCTTCACCAGTTTAGCATGGGACTAGGTCAATTGGTGTGAATTGTCCAATAAAAAAAAATATAAAAAAAATAGTACAACTCTGACTTAACTTCAAAGGCAAATAATGATAATTCAATAAATAAGTAGGCTAAGACGTTTGTATGCAGGTTACAAGAAGCAATCATTAAATCAATTAAGATTCTCAATTGTGTACTACTTAAGTTCTGATATAATACTTTTTAGTGTCCGTAATGATTGAAAATTAATATACATATTTAACAGAAGTTGAAAGATCCGAGGGGGAATGCTGCTTAATGTATTTTTTGTTACTATTTGAAGCAAGGTAGTTAAGCTCTAGAGAATAAAGAAAGAATAATATACTATTCTTTCTATAAGTAAAAATACATACCTTTCCTTTGAATTATAACCCTTAACAATGGCCTTGCTGTAAGTAACGCCCGAGCCAAATTATCATCATTATTGATTGGTAGAAGGTCACCATCCCGAGGATCGGTATAACTTATTAAAAAGGTCACATCATGAAGTCCATGTAATTTCTCTATTAATGCTTTAAAATCCTCATACTTCAGTTTTTCTGATTTATTTAAGGAGAAACGTCTGAATTCTGCATCAAACTGTAACAATAGAATTTATATTGAAAATATAATTCTATACAGGACAAACCTAAAGCCTATATAGAATTAGGTTTAAAGACTTTATTTCTCAAAAAGAATTACTACTACTTATTCAAATTTTAATAATAATCTTTATGAAAATAAAATAAAATTTATGACACAGGAGATTAAAATTAATTTTATTTATTTATGTAAGAGAAATTTAAGACTTTGTGAAAGAATAAACAATCACAGTGGCATATAGACTTTTATTCTCTTCTATCCTTACTTTATTATGATTTAGAGAAAATATAGATGTATTTCTCCCAAGTACTTTGAACGCTAGAAAAATAGTTGAGTATAAACTTATCTCGGAGATCTAACTAACAAAAATTAAGCCTTAAAGTATAAAAGTATGTGTTCGTTAACAGTAGAGATAATCAAGAATCATTGTTTCATCAAGGGCAATTATTTCATCAAGCATGTCCACCTAAAGTTGGTAAACAGACACCATATAATGCTTTATCTTAAATAAACAATTTCACCCACTCTAAACGCCGTTTTATGGTAAAAGAAATTAGAAATTTGAATACCTTAGTCTTTACTTCCACACTTTGACTGTCAATACGAGCGGCGATCTTATTCTTCGACATTTCGAAAGCATTTAACACTTACACTTACAATAAAGTTCCATCAAAATATTTAAGCACTTAATACAAGAATAAACATTGTAAAGTTTAAAAAAAACTATGATACGAGATTTTAACACCAACACTCGCGTCGAAAAATATTCTAAATTAAAAGTAGACTTCTTAGGGCCAGTTTTTTGATCCGTAGTAAAAAATGGTTTTACCATTTGTTACATTAACTATAGTTAAATGAATAACCATTGGTAAAATCGTAAATGCGTTTTTCAATGCCTTTTTTAACTATAGTTAAACTTAACAATTTGTCAATTTGTTGCCAGTGCAATGAGCAATGACATCCCAAAAAATGTGGTTCTTTTTGTGGGGAACATTTATTTTGTATGACAACACTAGACATATTGAGTGAATGAAATCCATTTTTGCCATCTTCATTCGTTATTTGCGCTTTGAAGAGTTTGAAGTGTCAAATTAATCTAAATAACACGATATAAATAAAGTTGTTTTTTTGTGATTTAATACGGTTTACACTTTTTACGATACTTAAATATATAAATAACGATGTCCGCAAACAGCCAACGGTCAAATAAGTAAGTACAAACATATTTTCGTGTTATTTATTCCGGTTTATCTTGTGTTTCGTAATAGAAAGTAATACATTTATGTTTTGTTAAAGGGACCATACTGCTAACTTCGCCAAAAAAGAAACTGCCAAACTGGTGATGCTTCTCAAGGATTACACAGTCGTAACCTGCAAACAATTGATCACTGCAGCAATCTACAAAAAGATGCAGCTTGGAAATCTCTGTGACGTTTTCAACTCAGATGGGTCTAGACACCGAAGTGTTAAATTTAATATACATTTAATGAAGGTGTAGAAACATTTTTATATTTATTCTTGTATAGCTGTGTCCTACAACAAAAGGAAAAAATCTTTTAACCCTTTGGAAACAAGGAAGCGGATTATGATCCACACGGATAAAAAAAATTGAGTTTTTGAAACAAAGACAAATAAGAGAGGATGATTTGTTCAATTATGCTAAGGAAGAGCATCATAAACATTTGCTGCACCAATGAGAGGCCCACCAAAAATTCATACTGCATAAAGAGGAGGTGCACCAAAAAGTGATGCAGCAGATGGAAGAAAGGCACAATAAATATATGTAGCAGCAAAAAGAGTTGCATCAAATTGAGGTGAAATGCAAGAAGAAACAATTAGAAAATATTTAATTGCTACTTTAGGGTTTCATGTAAATTTTGTAATGTTTTTTTAATAAAAATGGTTTGTATTTAAGTTACAATTAAACAGTTTATTAATCAAGTCAAATGTTTTATTTATAAATTCTTGTAATAAAGTAGGTAGATGCTAACTCACAAATGTAATAAAAGCCCTAAAGAATATCATAGGTCCCTAACTAATGTGTAGCTGTAGATTTTAGTATAAGTACATACTTGTATGTGCTTATAATAATTATAAGTTAATATTATTAGTAATATATAAATAATATTAACTCTAATTCATTATGTATTCTATTGCCTATAATATTAACTTATGATAATTAGAAGTTAATATTATAGGCAATAAAACACATAATGAATTAGTAATATATTTAATTATATACTGCTGCGGTTCTGTAGCTAGTAATGAAGCAAAATAGGTTTGTATGAGCTGCTGTCTATATATACTCTTGTTCTTGTATTTTATTTAATTATAATAATTATAAGTTAATATTATAGGCAATAAAACACATAATGAATTAGTAATATACTTAATTATATACTGCTGCGGTTCTGTAGTTAGTAATGAAGCAAAATAGGTTGGTATGAGCTGCTGTCTATATATACTCTTGTTCATTGGCAGTTTAAGATCATTCCCAATTTCAGTAACAATCCAGAGCACTGTTCCCTTCGATAGGGGGTAACAGTGACAAAAATCTACATCATCCCAGGTTTCTAATGGCGGATGACTATGCCTAAATATTTTTGGTCACTCATTAACACATTCTCATATAATATTATCGTCTTCTTCATCGTCTCATTAATTAAAGTATCTCAATATGTTTAAATTCATCATTAGATAGTAATAAACGTATTTATCATAGTTTGATTTCTGTGACAAACAGCTGTTAGTATATAAATTACCAGCGGCCATCTTTTTTAACCCTCCGATACTGAGTAGTTAACTTTTTTTGACTAATGGTTAGATATTTTACCATTGGATGCTCTTACCACGGATCAAAAAACGCATTTTGCTGATATTTAACTAATAGTAACGATTTTTTACCAATAGTTGAGTTAACTACGGATCAAAAAACCGGCCCTTATTACAGAATATTTAGAGCATTAGTAATAATCTACCAATAATAACAACGTTTGTCTAAGCAATAGCTACTTTGATTGGTTAAAATACACTAAGAAAAACTTACAACGAAAACTAGCGTCGTTTCAATGTACGCAGCATAGTAATTTGTTATTAAGGAGTTTGAATGCTGTTTTTCAAGTACAGTTAAAATAACTTCATATTCAATCTAAGTTTTGATCATCATAAATCATTATTTGTTATAAAAAAAGTGCGTTAACTTAGGCATTAACACTTAACAGTCTACTATATTTATACATATTATCATCATGTGACATTCCAGGGTTACTGTCAGGGGTAATAATCAGTTTTAAACATATAAACTAAAATTTGTCATTGTCAAAATACTGGCAAAAATTACAAAAACAATAGTGTAAATAGCATGGATTTGCTCTGATTACCCCAAATCAAATTATTAATCAATAATTTCTGCTTACAAAATATACAACAAAAATAAGAATTATGCCCTCTTTAAAAAATCCTGATGCTGAGCGCAATAACCCTTGTCTAAAGGTAATAATCTAAATTAAAGCCAATTTATAGCAGGCCTTTTTTTAATTGCATAACATTTAAATTTCAGGAACAAGAAGCTTCCTACAGGTGTTTGGATAAAAATGGGTTTGATGCAGAGAAGTGTGAATTATATTTTGATAACTACAATACATGTAAGAAGTTTTGGGTCAGTTTATTTTAATTTCTATTAATATTGTTATTTAGTTCAAACTGTATTATAAATTAACCTAGGTACCCATAGAATTATTCGTTCTTTAAATCATTAATTTATTTTAGGGTAAAGTATCCAAAGATCGCAGAGCAAAGGGCCTAACTCCTTACCTTCCTGACCTCACAGAGAGAGATCATGTCAAACAGGAGTACTTGAAAAACGTTTATTTTACTTCATAATATAAATTAAAATTATTTATTAAACTAATTAGTTAAATTAACTTTTCAAACAAATATTGTTTTACATATTACAGAGGTTATTTGATGCCTTGAGCCTATTTTAGACTTAAAAGTCAGATTTTCTAACTTTATTTTTAAGCTATCAAAATAACAGATTTATTACGAGGTAAATAAAATATGTATTGTTATATTATGATGTTTTTATTTGTTCACAAAAATAAAGGTTGCACTGTAGCAGCTGTGTTGACCAAAACAAGCTATTTAAAGGATATTTTTAAACAGCTTTTGTCTACAAAACAGAGATACTTTGCTTAGTGATGAAAATATTCTATGTTGCAAGTACTAAAAATAAGACTATTTTCAAAATTTCCTTTTCTACCTACATTTTAAACTATGAAGGCATGTCAGGAAGAACTTGTTGACAAAGTACATGATATATTAGTTCTATACAAATATGCAGAGTTAATTCCAAATTAAATTTATCATTTATATGAATTGTATAAGAATAATTATATGACTTCTTTTTGGTAATTGCTATTGAGTCAACTTATTATGTGAGGTATTAACAATTAATATTGTGAACCACAGCTAAAAATACCAATAAATATAATACAGATAAAAGTTAAAGCATAAACATATCAAATACTGTTTAATTTTAATTTATCTGTTTCATTGCTTTGCACAGAAATGCATGGGCATATATAAATTTTAAATTTGTTTCTAATTCTGTACATCTATTGGATGGTAATGGAGAAAAACTCTTCCGAGACTGGCGTGATCTATTAACGCCTATTTGTAGGAAAATGGTCACATGCCCAAATGTGAGCTTGTTGCAAATTATGCTTGTCTAGAGGCCAGGGTAGCCAGTTGAGTTAACCTACAATATATTTAAACAAAATACAATCTCATGGTAAAAATTAATTATAATTTTAACATGCATTGAAATAATTTTTTGAATTTATACTTCTTTAGGCGCGTTAGGGAAAAATGATGGGAGCAAATTTTTACGATGCGCGCGCACACCGTCATAAATAACCGACACCCTAAAATTATCTATAGACAACATTTTAGTTTTTTCTATCGTTAGTGTCGTTTTTTCTACAAACAGAGAATAACATTTTTTAAAGATCTTTATCTTGTTACGCCAAAGAAGTATAACTTCTAACGCGTGTACATTAGTACACACACGTTTTTTTTAAATAAACAGTTATCACTAGAATGGTTGTGTGAGTATTCAATTATACTATCTGGTACACGGCTGGCTGCTTAATTAACTTATTAAGAATTCTGCAGTGAAGTAAATTCTACAATCGAAATATAAAGGCAGCTGCAAGATATGACTTATATGTGTACTATAAGGCAACTTTACTAAGCTAGTTAAAGATTAAAAGCTAAATACAACATCTTCATACAACCATCGGTCGGAATATTGTTAAAAATATATGAATATGTAACAATAACCCTGTAAACTCTTATGAAAAGCATAAAGGCATATGTTGACATGAGTTAGGCAAACATCAAGTTTTTTTACAATAAACAGCCCCGTTTCTATACTTAGATACCAATCGTTATTACTACGAGACGTACATTTTTTTAGACAGGTATTCGGTGAGTCAACGAGATTTTTGTTACATATTTTTGTTTGCTTCAAAACATTTTTAATTGACATGACTGCTAATTCGAAATCTTTTAATACTAAAAAAAAGGCGACTGATCACTGACACCTTTTGATCAATTACTTTAAATCAGGTTTATAAGTAAACTATAATAGCGTTAAGCTGAATTAACTTTGTATACAGTTTAAAACATAAAAACAAAATGAGACAAAATGAGTCAAACAGTCCTTTCAAAAATATTTCTCTCTCTAATTATGGTTATAATTTAATGAAAAGAGACATAACAGTAAGTCTGATTTCGTTTTAAGTTTAAAAACTATAAAATGTAAATAATACACCAATAACTAAATTAAATCGGAATAAATATTTGTTAATACTATATAAATAAAATCTTAAAATAATAACAATTGATTATTTTAATATACGCGGGAATTCTTTTATCTTTGACTTCCGTATGTCAAAATCCTATAAGTTTTTGACATACAAGTCATACTAAAGCTACGGTTTCCTAGAAAAGCGGTGCCGTTAATTAACGGCTGTAATGTAACGTTGGGTGACGTTACCCATACGTTGACTATAAATAACATCGGAGTAGGTTTTGTAGAGAACGAGTATCACCGTAATGTCAAATTGCGGTGCTGTCATTTGCAACACGGCCGTCATAGTGGTGATAATCAATAGTTCAACGTTTTTCGCGTGTAGCGGTGCGCATATTTAATTAATACAATTACTTGGACGAGCGAAAATGATGAATAATTAATTGATTTTGTTAAATATCATGAAGCTTTGTACAATATCAAATCCAAAAAGTACAGACAAGCTCAGAAGAAGCAAAATTTGTGAAGCAACTCTCCTCCAAACGCTTTTTTCGTCTTCTGATGACTCTTCATCATCCAAAAATACTAATAATGTCCAAATCGTCCATTTTTTACCAGTACACGACCTAACGCTCGAGTGAGTACTGAGTGACTACGATTGAATACGGTCACACTACTTTCTAGGAAACCACAGCTTGGCCACCGTAAAGACGGCCGTTATTAACAACCGTAAAATGACGGCCGTTAGTTAACGGCACCGCTTTTCTAGGAAACCGTAGCTTTACTCTAAGTTCTAAAGCACATCAACTAAATATATCAAACTATTTAAAAAGCAGTATTTAGTATTAGTAAATCGGCGGGAGTAAAGGAAAAATATTTAATAAGGAAAAACATCCATTCCTGCGAAAACTTGGTCAAATATCCTTATACTTATATATATTAGATTTTTCTCTAGACAATGGTACAATAGAGTTAGCAACATAACTATTAATGAGTTAGTACTTTGAAAAAAAAAACTTAATTCTATACAAAGGACTAAATTTTAATGACAAAAATCTCTATTTCAAAATGCAGGTGCATTTTCTATTTTGGTCAAAAGAACCCATATATACATAAAAAAATATACTTAAAATTAATTTAATTCCAACTATATGACAATGTGTGCTATAAAATGTAAAAACTGTGATAACATAACATAAATGCGCCAAAGAGAAATCTGCACAGATCCACATCAGACAGAATCAATGTAAGTGTTGCCAACCTGCTAAACAAATCGTTTTTCGGCTTTCATTATTTATCAGGCCACAGATAAAAACAAATTTAATCTCTGATAAAATGAAATATCAAATACAAAACCAATTTAATTGCATTGTTTTCAATCTATCTCTTTTCATCACATATATGCACGAATGAGACGAAAGAGGCTAGTTTAAAAAAAGAATGCAATTATTCTTAAATACGTGAATGTGAGCAGTTAAAGTAACGAATTAATTACACTATATTTTTGTATGAAAAACTTGAGTAGCGCTCCGTGGGCATAATTGGAACCAAATAGCAGTTACGCTTATAAGCCCCGGACGTTGATATTGCGATGGAACCTTGTCACAATAACAGCTGCGTGACGTTATCCATTGTAGAAAAGTACAGACAACAAAAAAGTTAACAATAATAATATTCATTTATTTGCTTGAATGTAGGTTAACAATCTGTATCGGTAATCTTCCTGTCGTGTGAGGTGTTGCCACCTCTGGTGAAAAAGTGTATAATCTAGGGTTATATTATAGGTATTTATGTTATATTATATACATATATTTATGAGTGTTTAATTATAACTGTTTCTATAAAATTACCCACTTATATTACTTTCTTGCTCATTTTAATAGGATTAGTATGATAACAAAACTAAACAACAAAAATAAAACAGGATAACGAAAATAAAAAGCAACAAAAAAAAACGTTGTAGATGTACTCAATACGCGCAAGCGCTGGCTGACCTTGCGCACGGTACTGAGACTGACAGTTCGACTACGTCACTAAGATGGCCGCCAGTCGCAATATCAACGTCCGGGGCTAATAATCTAATGTAGAGTGTCGATAACTACAATAGTATAGAGTGCGTATTCGTATAGTTTACTCAATACGAATATTTAAATGTTTATTCACAGGGATTGTTATTAATTGTGAGACTCAGACGTAAGGATTTCAAACTAACACTGACGAAACAAAAACAGTAAAAACTATAGCGAAACTTAAGAAAATCAATCAAATATATTAAGATAAATCCGTTTCTGACTGATATGATTTAGTTTTAGTCCAACAAGACATATTATTCATTATTAATAATCAAAATATTTAATTGGCGCTATATCAAACAAGACATTGTCAAATACATCTGACACGTGTCAGCTGTCACATATGTCACATGTAAACTATAAATGTCTTTGAATTCGAATTTTGAATAAATGCTATTAACGTTATGTTATGTTATCAGCACACATTGTCATCTAAAAGTCAATCTGCACGTTGTTTTATGTGGAAACATCTTATTCTGAAGTGATCACACATTTGTCGTACCTGTAATTCAATATTGTAATTATTATTATTTTCATTCCAAGGGCAGTCTCAACGCAGCCCATGGGCACCCATTTCAGTGGGTGAAGGGAGCTGTATCTTTTTTTAATTGGAGATCGTATCTCCCAGTTGATTCCACAGTTCTCCAAAAGAAAATGTTTGCTAACAAATAATTTTTATTACTATTATAGGATTCTTGATTCTGCAATAATTTTTATTTTTATTTTGTTAGAACTAATTTATTACATCTTTAGATATTTAGGTTTTAGGTACAGCGTGCGACTCTTATCCCTGAGGTCGTAGGTTCGATTCCCGGCTGTGCACCAATGAACTTTTTATGTGCTCATTTAAAAATAGCTTGAACGGTGAAGGAAAACATCGTGACGAAACCGACTTGCCTTAGACCCAAAAAGTCAACATGATTCATACTGATCACAAACATGCCCAATTGAAAAATGATCATGAAACAGAAATCTGAGTTCCAGATCTAAAAAGGTTGTTGACAATTTTTTGTCAGGTTAAAATACTCACCACACAAGCGCCATAATGCACATGAGCAACGATTACTAGAAGCGTCAGAGCGTAGAATATAGCCAGGTCGTATCCCGGGAATACAATTGATGCTATGACACTTCCGGTTAACGGCCAAAGGAGCCAGTTGATAGCATCGCACCTCTGATTACTCATTTGACTAACTATAAGCCGGCACTGAAAATTTTTGTATATAAATTATAACCTTTAAACGAAATTCATGAGCCGATGAATTTTGAAAAAATAAACATTGTTGTGTGCCTATGGGAGCGGTTCAAGTAACGCCGTAACGTTTTTCTGTACCCAATAGTAAAACGTTTCGTGACCACCGAGTGACTCTTTATACCTAAAAGTTACCATTATGCAGTGTAAAGTACTGCAAAGTCCAAAATAGTATTAACAATAACGCGTAATTCCATCTCTGCCCCGCAACGTAACATTTTACAAAACGAAAAAGAACAACGAATAAGTCATGAAAATATTGGCTTTAAGGGCAGTCTCTACATCTCAGCGTAAACATAACTTGACAGAAAGAGACGAAAGAGTAGTTTTATTAATAAAAATAAATTAGTCAGTCTCATAGAAAAAGTGATGTATTTAGACTGAAACGTTGCAATGCGCATGCGCAGCCGTGAAATCCAAGTAGGATAATTATAATAAACAATAGATTTAAACTAAGCGTTTTTACGGCAGTTGTTGCGGCTGCCCGCCAAAGTATTTCGGAACTTTAGGGTCCTTCAAGAAAAGCGCGTTCCAAATCTTAAATGGCCGGCAACACACTTGCGAGCTCTCTAGCAATGTAAGTGTCTCACTCACTTAACATCAGCCTTTTACCCGTTCAATAATTTAATTTTATAATAAAAATATTAAGTTTAATATTTAATTTCAATTAGACTTAAAACTAGATTTAAGTTGAATTACTCACAGCAACGTTACTAAACAAAGTGCCAATCAGCAGGAAAACTCCTCTTGGCTCGATCTCCACCAAATGGGACTTATGGACCCACACCGACGACACCAGAAATACACTTAAAATTGACCAAACGGGCCGTATCGCTTCTAGGGGATTACGCATTTTACCGGTTCGAAGTTTGTATGACCTGAAATAAAGGTTAGAAAAAATTGTTAAACACTTAAACGAAGAAATGGGCTGTTTTAAAAAAGGAATTGTTATCTATCTTTCTTATACCCGATCCGCTGTTTTGCTAGATTTTTTTTAAATATATGTCAGGGAATGCTAGGATTATAAGGAAATGTTCTGAAAGTCAATTATTATTTTACATTTGTTAATCGTAGAGATTCCGTATAATTTAATTTTAATTTTTTCATTACTGAATGAATAAAAGCACGAGGAGCTATCGGGGAGTATTCAGGGAAGCATTGTGATGAGGAGTCATTGGACCGAGTTGGGTGATGATTTGTGCTCGATTAGATTAAAAGTGAGATCGGTGCCTTGAACCGTAAAATTCAGCTAAAAGCGATGTCAATTGTCAGTATGATTTTGACATACACGAACCCCGCTGACAGTTACGTGCTGTTGTTTATTTTTTAATAGTTTAATTAGTTTAGAGTTAAAAATGTATATTAAACAACATTTTAAGCCTTTAATAAGAGAAGGTTTTTATAAAAAAGAGGGTAGCATAGCAAAAATATTTTCCTACCCTCCACAAAACTTTTGTGTACTTACAAATATATATTATACAAGGCAACAGGTAGATTGGTGAAGACACCCGTTCCATATATGACCCACTCGAAGGCATTGGCTAAAGTATAGCTGCCAAAAATGTACTTTTTATAGTACCCTGTTCCCTTTACCCCAGTCCACATGAAGAAAAATGTCGATGCCTGGAAATATGAAAATCATGTTATATACTAGCCACCCGGGTTTCTCCAACTCCTATTATTCCATCCAATAATAATCCAGGGGCTCTACAACCCTTATGGGTCATTTCTGGCTGACTCAAGTCATCGATTTTTGGATTTGAGAAATTCCGATTTCCTTACGATGTTTTCTTTCACTATACGAACAAGTGTTAGATGCGCACATAGAAAGTCCATTTGTGCACCGGGGTTTGAACCTATGATCTCAGGTATTAGAGTCGCACACTGAAGCCACTAGACCAACACTCCTTTTTTTTTTATAAAAACAAGACAAATCTTTTGACACTTCAGACAAGAACACATTTCAAACTTGGACATCTTGAATATGTGTATATATCCATGGAAAGCTAGTACACTCGCACAAATGGTTTATATAACATCAATTACATAATGATAGGTTATATATCTAAAGGTGCGCGTTACACGGGGGCAATAATTGCTCGGCGACACGAATGGACCAATCTGGAGCAATTAATGGAGCAATTTCAATAAATTGCAATAAATTATTTCGGCGATATTGCTTCTAATTGCTCCAGATATTTCATATCGCTCAATGTCGCACATACGAATTGACGAATATACAATGGACTTGGAAATTCCTAGCAATTTTTGTATATGTCTCATTCGCACTTGTTTGTTTTGCGGCTTGCCGTCTTGCTTCCGCGGGGAGAGCGAGAGGTCTAAATAATAATAATTTCTAATTACTTTATTCAAAAGTAATTCAAAGTCTGTTCGTGACATTCTAGTAAAGTTTTTGAATAATATATCATCTTTACATAATAAAATTTTGTCCTCTTTGCCAGAAACGATCGCACCCAGATACGCCTATTCCTTTTCTTTCTTTTTTGTTTTTGATTAATGATAAAAAAAGCGCTACAAGTCGCCGCAGCAAGAACAATGTCGTCCATAGCGAGCGAAAACTGAAATGCTCGTGTATGACAGTATTGCCTAGTTGATGAAGTTGCGCCATATCGCTCAATATTGTATTGCGCAGTATTGATGCTTGTTGCCGTTGCCGTAAATTGCTTGATGTAGTTGTGACGTCATAATTGACGAGTATTGACTGGAATTGAGCAATTTTAGTTGCCCGTGTAAGCGCACCTTAAATAGAATACCGAATAGGTTCATTGTATGATGCAATATTATGCCAATGGCGTGCACATATAGGTACGTGCTCGTATACATAAAAAATAACATAAAATTAATCAAATAATAAACTCCTGCAAAATCCATCAAAATACGTTTATCAAAATTAAGTCTTACCCACATACTAAAATCGTATCCCCAGGGCAGGAACAATACTCCAGTATTGTATTTCTCCCAATGGCTTATGTAGAAATTCAAAAGAAGGTTCCACATCACATAATACATTCTGAAAAAAAAAACCTATTAGAGTACTTGACAGTATTAATCTGTATAAATCATGGCAAAAAAACTTTAAAAAAAATAAAAAATCCATAAACAAAAATATAGATTTCCATACGTCACGCGACACGGCCACAGATTAGTCGTATCGACGATAACGTAACAAATTTAAAAAAAAAATCCATAAACAAAAATATAGATTTCCATACGTCACGCGACACGGCCACAGATTAGTCGTATCGACGATAACGTAACAAATTAAAAAAATAAATAAATCCATAAACAAAAATATAGATTTCCATACGTCACGTGACACGGCCACAGATTAGTCGTATCGACGATAACGTAACAAATTAAAAAAATAAATAAATCCATAAACAAAAATATAGATTTCCATACGTCACGTGACACGGCCACAGATTAGTCGTATCGACGATAACGTAACAAATTAAAAAAATAAATAAATCCATAAACAAAAATATAGATTTCCATACGTCACGTGACACGGCCACAGATTAGTCGTATCGACGATAACGTAGCAAACGTGTTAAATTATCTGAGATTATCTGAGATTAGTTAATATTAGATATATAAATGTAATCCTAACACTGTCTTGGACTTTTTGATCGAAATATAATATAAAATTCGAAATCATTTATTCATTTAGGTAACACAATGTACACTTATGAACGTCAAAAAGAAATACATATTAATGCTTCTAATTTTACATTTACTGCCAGTTCTCAAATCATGATATATATATATATATGTATGTATACCTATGTATTTGTGTATGAGAATGATAATTAACACGTGAAAAACTTGATGTTTGTCTACGTGGTAAATCATGGTATGTCATAGGGACTGACTGGTACGATGCTATCTTGCCTATACAAGCGTTTTGGGAGGGGGGGTCTCGATTAGAATTGTTATTAAAAAAAAATTCAGTGGCGCTACAACCCATTTAGATCTGGGCCCCATATTTTTTAATTTGTTTCATGATCATTTTTCAATCAAATAGGCAAGTAGGCGATCAGCCTCCTGTGCCTGACACACAACTATTTGGGTCAAAGGCAAGCCGGTTTCCTCACGATGTTTTCCTTCACCGTTCGAGCGAATGTTAAATCGCACATAGGAAGAAGTCCATTGATACACAGCCAAGGATCGACCCTTCGACCTCAAGGCTGAGAGTAGCACACTGAAGCCACTAGGCCAACACTGCTCAAATCTATTAATATAATATTGTGTTCTAGTTTCTATAGTGAATAATAAATCATCTGTGGTTTTTAATATCTAATCTAATAACCTATTAACCAATACTTTTCTTAATCTAACAATAAATTTCTGATCTGGGGGTGTTCAAACACCAACAACGAAACTAATATGTTGAAAGAGATTAGATACCTTATAGGTGGAATGGAGAAATCCAGTCGACCAAATATGGAATAAAGGCAAGCAGGTATAAAGAAAACTGAGTATGAATCCAGTCCATGGTCAAAGAGTTCACCAAGCGGGCCTGATGTTTGTGTTCTACGGGCTTGTTTACCATCAATACCATCTGAAAAATTAATGGGTGGTAAATTAAAATTGTCAAAATTACATTAATAATTTATCAATAATATTAATTGATTTTTTTATTTAATCAATTAAATTATTATTGATTTTTGTGTTTAGATTTCTGCAGGAACTTTTTAACAGTATACTTGTGCCGTGCGTGGCTGTATGTATTTTTTTAATGTCAGATTACGGTGGATTCGTTTATTGATGTACTGTTCTTCTAACCTAAAGGGAGGATCCTCGACCAGTCTAACCATGGACTGGCCGGCCTCTAGAAGTTGTATATATCTTTAGCACGTTCCAGGGTATATATGTATTATGTATCTATTTGCACTAAAGGCGTAGAACAAACTGCATGGGCATACTTCAGCAATTATTTACGACTGTATGTGCCTGAATATTTCAGGCCAATTATAATATTTTACAATTACAATATTTTATTTACCAAAATAACAATATCCCCATGCTAAATTTATACGACTCATTCAATTTTCTTTTAGTCAGTGGGAGTGGCATACCACAGTCAAGATGTTAAAATATAATATTAATTATTCTACTCTCATCACATATTATATCTTAAAATGAATTTCCTAATTTTAGTTAATTAATTGAAATTTTAATTAAAAAAACATACCCAGGGTATATGCCAAAAACAGGAACACTGACAGAAAGTACCACAGCGTTTGGGGTATTACTTCGGTCCTGCCATTCAGTGGTTCAACCACAGTTTCATTTTTCACCATTGCACTGGCTGCCGTGTAGTCATAATCATAGTATGACAATAGTATGAAATCGAGTACAGTGAAGAGAAATCCCGAAAACGTTAAAACATTTGGTGCAACCCATCTTGGTACTAGCTGTAAATGAATAAATCTATAATATAAAAATGAATCGCAAAATGTGTTGGTAAGCGCATAACTCAACAACGTCTGGACCAATTTGGCCGATTCTTTTTTTATAATATTTCTTGAAGTACGAGGATGGTTCTTACGGAGAGAAAAATTAAAAAAAAATATGAGTGAAAAAGTCTAAAAACAACAATTCTATATTCCCATACAAAATATTCGTAATAATACTTAAAAGTCAATTTGAACTTTAATACCATATCATAAAGTTCAAGTGTTAGTGGAGGGGTTCCGGGAAGGTAAATTTTTATTTTTTGACGTAATGTATTTGTTGTCTTATCAACTTTCTTTTTTTATCTTACTAGCTAGACCGGTGTCCCGAATAGCAGAATAAGTATTTAATAAAAATAAAGAATCGACTTTTAGGCGGTACGATGTTCGCCAGGCCAGCTAGTTTTTTATAAAAGTATCTGTTTAACCTACGGTTTATTCGTTTTTCCCCTTTACCTGGGGCTTTGACAGGAGAAAGGAAAACATTTATATGTATAGTTGTAGCTTAAGTTATACTAACTTTGAATATGTGGCCCTTTTTTTATTTTATTTTTTTATTGTTGGGAAATCAATTTACTGGCCCCCGCGCCGGGGATACGATTTAAAAGTGACGACGGGGAGTGTGGGAGTCAGTCCGTATAGTGCAATGGACACCTACCCACTAAAACCCAACTGCCCCATCTGTTCACTATGGACGGTAGGCGCGGTAACAGTTTAAAGAATATGTGGCCCTCCCCTAACCATTTGCATTAACCCCATAATAAAAATAATCTATGGCTAAAGTAATTATGTTTGCATGGCATGTTTACCTCAGAAAATATAACATCACAAATTTTAGTTTTGCTTTTGAAGTGTCTGGAATATGACAGACTGCTCCATACCCACTTTATGCAAGGCGATCACTGCAATCTTATTTTCTTTAATCTCATTCCATATTGTAATTTGATAATAAACACGAAAAAATATATAAAATGGCGCAAAATCGAAAGAAGTTTTTAAAAATGTGTTCCAAATTCAAAATAATTAAAAAGGTAAAAAAACGAAAAGTTTTTATGTAACCGTATTCATGGCCTTACTAGTCATAAACTTAAACCTCATTAAGAGCGTGATTCAAATAAACAAAATAAATATAATAAAAGCGACAATATATTAATTTATAAGTTCCCAACAAACTTGAACTTCTTGGTCTTATAAAAACCTTTATACACATTTTTTTACATGTAAGTTCGCTTTATTACCCACAAATCAAACCCAGCCTAGAATACAACGTACATGAATACAATATACAACCAATGTTTTATAACATTATAAAAATTTATCGAGTAATAATCTTATCTTTGCAAAAATGTATCACTATCTGGTTTATCAAATGTACCATAGAGAATTAGTGGTTTAATATGTTTATGAATTATCTGTTGTCAGTATATTTGTTTTTCATATAATATCACAAAACAACATCTAGTAAACAAACTGGACTATATGTTAAACAGATTCCATCCATTTTATGATTTTAAATACATAAATCTTGTACTTAGTTCAATATTATATCTCTAGATACTTAAATAGATTTATGATTTTTCATTACATCTTATGTCATGCATGTTGTGTAATACAACTGGTTAAAGCTTACCGATTATAATAGGATTTCTTTTAAAAAAATGTTCTGTATTTCTAAGACATCCACTTAAAGCCGCAGGGTTAGGAGAATGTGCGTGCCACATTAGCAAATTCTTCCTTTTAAATTTTAAATGATTCACTATAGAACTCTCTATTACAGTTCAATTGAATGAACTAAATTTAAGTTACTATGAAGCAACTTTAAAAGCTGAATATACCATGTTATGGCACATAAGGCAATAAAGTTTGTGGACTAATCATCCATTGGGTTACCAATCCTAGGCGGAGTACCCAAGAAATTGTATAAGGGGTCAGTCAGCCCTAAACTGTTGCCTAGTTTATAATAATAGTGGTTTAATATTTAAATTGACTTACCTCTACAACTTTATTCCAAAATGGGTGCATAACATAAACACTGAGAGGACTGGTGTCTTTTGACATGTACTGTAATAGAAAATAATTTTACTGAAAGTTATTTTTTCAGATTACAACAGAAATTATTTTGTATTTTTAAATTGGTAGATACCTCTTTGAGTCAATGCTGCTAAGTGTTGACTAAAAGTTAGTGTCAATAAATGAGGTATGAGTTGAAATTAATATAAAAATATGAACAGTTTAAATAAGTGGGAGTAGAATTGTTTCAAAATAAGGTTTTATTCAATTCGAGGTTTTATTGATCCGGATTTCCTTGAAATATTCTGTGACAACCATAAAAATAAAAAGAGTCATAATATATCATGATGCGCAAATCGATCGGTTTATTTATAGGTTAGCTTTGAAACCTTTGTAAAACTCTTAAACATGACTTAGGATAATATACATTACCTTGTAATTATCAAATCCTTCGAGATGTTCCCGAGATAAATACTTGTAATTAAACATCTTGTTTGATTTTAATTTTATAAGTTCACCAAAATTAAAAGGACCAAAACTACGTTAAAATAGAACATAAACTTTTGTAGCACATGATTTTAAACTGAATGTAAGATATTAGATACTAATAAGCGGAATCGATAGAAATGTTAAAAATTACATAAATAGGTAATTGACCGTAAATAAAAAACAAATTAAATTCTGTTAATAAAATAGACTTGCCGCTTGCGGGGCTTGCCTAGTGCCTAACTGCCTACTTTTTTTTTTTTTTAATTTATTTATTAGCCGGATACAAAGTCCATTGGCACTTTAAAAAAAAGGTATAACAAAATATCTTACACAAATAATAATATAAATAATATACTATCTTAACATAAAATACAATCAATTTATATAATACAATGTTGAGCTTTAAATTTTCTCAACCGTGTTTTTTATATAATAGTAAATAGCTTTAAATAGAACTGGACATTTCAGTAAATCTTGGACACGGCGGGGAATTTCTATTTGTGATGGTTTACATTGATGACTACCATTTGCAGTGACTGATGAGTCTAAAGCTGATCTTGTCGGGTTATTTGCTAAAGAATTTCCAAGTTTAGTCTGATTATTCTCATCAAAATCCATCAACTTCATAATATCCGTTACTAGTATTAATCGTTGAAATTTAAAGGTCGGGCAACTTAAGATGAGGTGGGATAAGTCGGCCTCATTTCCTCCACAGTATGTACATCTGTTATTATTTATAATTTTAAAACGAAATAAATGGCTTGGAGTCTGACAGTGGCCAAACCTCAAACGATTAATAATGGTTATAAATTTACGTTCATTGGCTCCTTTGTATTTATCATACCAAGGTTTACTTGGAAGTTCTTTTTGGATCTCTGCATACCAACTACCTTTATGCTGTGAGGATAATTTCCAATAGCTTTCCCATAACTTGCGACTTCTTTGTTTTAAGTCGAAAAGAAAATCCGTAAAAGGAACTCTGCATGTAATACTATGATCCTCATCATAATTAGAATTGACGATACCATCTACAATATCATTTCCCTTGATACCCCTATGAGAGGGAACCCATTTAAATGTTACTGGAGTATCCAAAGATATCAATGCTTCTCTAATTTTATACAATAAATAATTATTTCTATAATGAGTATGACATTTGTCTAAAGCCATTAACACACTTTTTGCATCTGAAATTATTAGGAACTCCACATAGTTATCATTATTTTGTAAACTTTGTAAGTACAATACAACTTGATAGATAGCATAAGCTTCAGCTGTAAATATGCTGCAAGTATTACTTAACATAAAACATTTTGAGGTTTTAGCCTGAGGATCATAGTAACCCGATTTCACTGCAGATGAAGATTTAGACCCATCAGTGTAGACTTTGTAACTGTTAGGCTTGGTACAGCAATAATCAAGAAAGTCTATATTATCTACTACACTGGACATATCTATATTTAAGTTACACATAAGAGCTTTATATTTACAGAGATATACAGGCCATAGTTCAGATTTGTACATATTATCAGATAAATCAGTCATAAAGCTCATAATTCCCAATAATTCAGGGATCTGGTTATTGAGAACATTAGTCGCTGTTATACTTGAAGGCAAATCTGGTGTATTAGTGATAGTTATAGAATAAGAAAGTTTTGGAAGAAGAACATCATTCTGAGAAGTTATAACTTTCAGGCAAAATTTTTCAGCAATTAATACTCGCCGAATACATAGTGGTTCTACACATGACTCAACCTCCATAGAATTGATAGGAGTGGTACGCATTGCACCAGTAACAATTCTAAGAGCAATATTTTGGATAACATCAAGCTTTTTTAATAATACAGGACTAATATTCATATATGCCAGACAGCTATAATCAAAATGACTACGTACTAAGCTTTTATATAATAAACAAAGAATTTTTGGATCAGAACCCCAAAAAGTTCCTGCTAAGGACCGCAAAATATTGATACCTTTCAAAGCTCTACTACAAATATAGTAAACATTAGTATCAATACCATAAGCTAAAACTGAACTTTTACTACTATTTATATTTAATTTAAGTATCTCAGTATAATAGTAGTTAAGTTGACATAAAGCTGAATTAACTTTTGCTTGAGTAACCTGTAAATTACTGCCTACACTATATATTAAGATGTCATCAGCAAATTGTAATATTTTTACAGATTCAGTCACATATGTATATATTTGTGAAGTATAAAGGTTATACAGGATTGGAGATAAAGAAGACCCTTGCATCAACCCCTTGAATGCTAATTTTGGACCATGAAAAACATTATTGTATTTAATGTATAAAGAACGACCATAATACATATGGAAAATCCATTTTAAAAGCTTTCCTGGGATGCCCAAGGAATATAGCACCCTAATTAATTGGTGAAGATCTACATTATCATATGCCCCCTGAACATCAAGGAAAACACAAATTGCAGTAGAACCTGATAACAAACACTTCTTCATATCAGTCAGGTAAGCTATAAAACTTTCTGCTGCACTTTTGCCTTTTCTGAATCCAAATTGACAAGAAGGAATAAGTTTCTGGTTTTCAACAAAATAGTCCAGTCTAATCTTAATCATTTGCTCAAACAATTTCCCTACACAAGATGTAAGAGAAATGGGTCTGTACGAATTAAAATGATCATTGGGTTTGTCAGGTTTTAACACTGAAAATGAAAAAATGAAAAAATATTTATTCAATCACTTACAATGGTAACAACATGTGGCTGGAGCCTCCATTTAAGTATGTATAATATACTTGTGTTTGGAGTATCCGCTCTTCCTAGGTACACTTAATTAGGTATGTAAGTTTAGACAAAAGGGAATAATATTACAAAAACAAAACAATATTTATACAAGTTAAAAGATGCATCGTGTATGAGTGATAAATTGAGGGGTGTTCGTTGTATTCAGTTAAGTGTATGTTGATGTGTGAGAGTGTAAGTGTGTGTGAGTGAGTGTGTATGAGGTATGTGTGTATATGTCTGTATCATATGTTTGAGTGTGTGTGTTCTTTTAGAGTGTAAGATAAAAGTAGACTTTAGAATAGTAATTCTTAGATAATAGATTCAACTTCTTCATAGGTTAGAGTTTTTAACCAACAATTTATAGTTATTTTACATTTATATTTATTCATATTATATAGATTTAATTCCTTGTTTAATTTATTATATAAGTTAGCAGACTGGTAGCAGTACTGTCTATGAGCATATTTAGTTTTAAAAGTTGGTAAAGGTGCCACATTATGCCTTCTACGTCTGTTCAAAATACTAGGATCATATCCAATATGTCGATGGGTTCTAAGAGTAGTTTGCAGTACATACAACTTACGTACTGACAGAAGATCGCTAACCGCATATAACATTTCCGTAGGGAATCTGTATGGCTTAAAATGGATAACTTTGAGTAGTGACCTTTGTGCTCTCTCCAGTTCCAGGAATTTTGTTTTAATGGCACCACCCCAGGCCGGAATGCAGTATATTAATATTGACTGCGCAAGAGCAGTATAAATTTGTTTTAGGAGGGCCGAGTCAGCTACGTGTCTTAGATTTTTAAATAACCATATGAGTTTTCTTACTCTAGCCATAACTAGCTCTATATGATCGCGCCATGAACACTGGTATGACACATTGGAACCTCCAGGATTCTGGAATCAATTGCTGAGACCAAAGCGAATTTAAAATATTAAGTAGAATATGTTTTACAGAAACATGTAGATTTTGAAGCATAATATAAGGAATATCGTCAAGACCAGGGGTTGTATTCTTTCTTGAAGACAAAGCCATGTCAAGTTCTTCAAAACAAAAAGAGTTAAGTAGAAACTTGCTCCACTGACTTCCATCATTAAATTCGAAGAAACCAGAAATATTATCATTGTTATTACTAGGTTGCCCTAACTTCTCTAAAAAACTTGCTATCCACTCATCATTTTTGGACACATTTCTATTAATGTTAATTCTCTTAAATCTTCTAATAAAATTCCACACTCGGGATACTGGAGTGAATCTATTAAAAGACGAACAAAGACTTTTCCAACTGTCTTTCTTAGCCATTTTTATAATAATTTTTTTCCTCGAATCTATTTTCTTATATTCTATATAATTGTCCATTGTCATATTACGTCTATAATTAGCTAACGCTTCTCTTGATTTGGTTACAGCCTCGGCACAAGTATCATTCCACCAAGGAGCTGGAGGAGCAGACTTTTTACTAGAAGATTTATGCTTTAACAATGGAACACAGTTTTCTTTTAAACTAAGTAGTAATTTAGAAAATTCATCATATTGAACTAAAGGATCAATTGTTGAAGGAGAAAATTTATCAAATATATCTTTGGATTTATCATTGTACATATTCCAGTTTGTTTTATTATATAAATACTTATGTATAGACTCTTGAACTGTATATTTTTGAGTTGAGGTAATGATGTTAACAAAAGTAGGTAAATGATAGCTCCCTAAAGAGTCATCACCGACATACCACTCACAAAGTGGTGCAATATCAGGGCTAACACAAGTAACATCAATGGCTGATGCATTATTACCAGGTCTAGAAATAGTAGTAGGGTCACCAGAATTTAAAATACATAAATCAGCATCATCAAATATATCAAATAATTCACGACCTCTTGAATTGGTAGTATCACAACCAAAAGCTATATTGTGAGCATTAAAATCACCAGATACAAGACAAGGCTTGGGTAATTGCAAAATAATCTTTCTCAAATTAATCAAACTAATTGAGCTATTATTTGGTGGACAATAGACACAGAGCACTGAGACAGGACCACATCCTGTTATTATAGAAATAGCTATAAATTGTATATTTTGATAGAAAGTAGTTTTTAAGACCTTAAATTTAATATCATTTTTTATTAAAATACCTACACCGCCATGTTCATTTTTAGCATTTTTTCCTATATAGTTATAGCCAGAGATTGATAAATAGGGATTTGAATCTTTTAACCAGGTTTCATTGAGAAGACACACATCTATGTTATTTTGAATTAATGATGATTTAAGTAAAGCCTTTTTATTATTGACACTCTGAATATTATGTTGCATTATTTTTAAAACAGCCATTATTTGGTAAGATTTTCTATTAATATATCTTTAATGTGTGTGGTTGTGTTTGTTTTATTCGAATTTGCTAATGTAACTAAGGTTTTTATTATTTTTTGTAAAAAGATATCATCTTTTACAAGGTAGTCATAGGTCAAGGTGTTGGAGCTAGTATTTGGTGTATGAACAGTTGAAACCGGTGCTGTGATAGGGGACTCATGACTATTTTCAATTTTCTTAACCGGGGTAGACTTAGTTTTCAATGCAAATGTCACTGATTTGTCTGTTTTCGCTTTGGTCAATGCAGGAAAATCTTTGTTTGATACTACTGTTGAATACATTCTGGTCAAGTAATTTGATTCATGTCTTTTACGTTGTTCTATTTTAATGGGACAAAACTTAGATATTGCTAGGTGGTCCCCACCACAGTTGCAACACTTCAAGATGTCTGATGAGCACTCCTTGTAGGAATGTGCACCTGAACATCTTGAACATACATCATCATTTCTACATATTTTGGCATTGTGCCTAAACTTCATGCACTTGAAGCATTGCATCAGTGGTGGCACATAAGTGTATACCCTGTACCTCCACTTGTCCAGAAAAACATATTGTGGGAGGGAAGTGCCTACAAATGTTACACTCACCGTAGTGAGAGGGACTATTTCCTGACCTACTTTCTTGGTGAACCGTCTCACAGCTATAATTTCGGCATCCGCCATCAGTTTTTCGTACAGTTCTGCATTGCTCGACTCCTTGTCGACGAATCTAATAGTGCCGGTTCTCTCCACCGACGCTGCTGGTATGTATGCCTTCAAATTGTTTTCCTTAAGACAACTATGGCTTAGGAAGTCATTTGCTGCTACCGCCTGTTTGAAGACTACCATTATTTTGTTCGCATTTAATCTACGCTTTTCAACAATGCCCTTTACATTTTTGAAAAATTTCGAGAGATATAAGGGGTTTTTGTTCCCAATTTTCTCATTAATTCCTTCAACATAGATCGGGAATTCCTCCTTAGAGCTGTTGTCCGGGTATGACCTCTTATATTCAAGTTTAAAGTAGGGTTTGTACTTATCTTCCGGTGACGAAGACGCCGCTGGAAGCTGCTCTTTAATTTTTCGCTTCTTTGTTGTCCGCGGTGTCGCCATACACCCATCGTCATCTCCGCCGCTCTCCGGCTCCATTACGACTAGTCCCAGCTAGGTATTTCGTTAGTTTACCAACTTTTTTGAATTTATTGAAAAAATTGTTTAAAAAAGGCGCCCTTCCAGTTCCCGCCAAAAAGGAAGTCCCCTAACTGCCTACTACTTACTACTTAAGAGCTTATTACACTACGCGATATTCAGACAGTCTTACTAAGATTTAGCATAATGTAATAAGAGTTAGCAAGTTAGCCTGTCTAATTAGACTGACCGAATGGGTTCGGCGGTGCTTACTTGCTTACTTGCTGAATATCGCGTAGTGTAATAAGACTTAGCACGCTTAACCGTTCAGTCAGCGCGTGGCAGCCGCAGAGCAAAGACGTTCGTACATGTTTGTTTGCTGTGGCCGCGTGCACCATGGCGTGTTCGCAAGAAAAAAAAGTACTTTTCAATATTATCAATTTGTACCGAGACATGCCAAATTTATGGCTGCATGATTGATTGATTTATTAATAATTGATGACCTTAGGTTTTTTTTTTAATTTTTTTAATAATTTATTTCATAACCATGGATACAGAGTCCTTCAGGATGACCTTAGGTCTTGATAGGAGTTGCCCGTTGCCAGGAATCTTAAAGTAACTACCAATATTTGTTAGGACTGACACTTTGTCTAAGAACCGTATCTTCTTTTTGAATGTATGGAGTAACTCATTGGTCATATGTATGTATATCCGTTGCCTATTACCCATAACACAAGCTTCACCAGCTTAGCATGGGACTAGGTCAATTGGTGTGAATTGTCTAAAAAAAAAAAAAAAAAAAACTAATTTCAATAGACATTCAAACTCGGTAACTCCTACTCTAAGGTAGTTTCTTAAGTCACATGGTTCCAAAACACTCAGTATTTGCATATTTGATAATAATTTTTCTCGCAAAAGTAAATACTCTTTCACCCATATGTTTCTTTTCTTTATTTAAATTAATAGACGCGGCAAGAGCCATGGCGATTTTCTGGTGCTTTGAAAGTTTTCCCATCGCGAGACAACCGTCACCGACAACGTACGCTTTGCAAATGAGTAAAATGAGTTAGCTTGCGATATTCAGTCCAGTGTAATAGCGAGCTTGACTAATTCGATTTTAAGACAGTCTTACTAAGACTGTCTGAATATCGCGTAGTGTAATAAGCGCTTTAGTAGTTAGTACTTACTATAATTATTTATCCACAGATAATTTTGTACTTAGATATACAGCTATATCAATTTTTATGTCAGATTGATTACTGACTATCATGTAGACGGTTCTGTTAATTGTCAAACAACACGATCGTAGTCGTACCCTATTATCTTAAATATTCTTTATTTTTCTTTCTAGCGATGTAATATAATAATAATAATTAATAATAATAATAATAATATAAGCCTTTATTCAGACAAGATACAAATTTACTTAAGCTAGAATATACATATGTTTACTTATACTTAAACCTTGTCTGTTTGCCTTTTGTTGGCAAAGGCCTCCTCCAAATGCCACCATACATTTCTGACCTGGGGCCTTAGTCAAGATGCCTTAACAGTAGTATATGTAGAAAGTCATAAACTAAATTTGTATGGAAATGACAGTTCGTGTCGAAAAGTTTTCATACAAATTTAGTTTTTATAAGGCCCCTGGGCAGATCGGGTCCATGTGCCACCTGCCACGGCTCTTATTTCATCAACCCACCTTAGGAATAGTCTACCCCTTTTCCTCTTCATGTGACCTGGGTACCATTGCATTAATGACTTGCTCCATTTTGACTGTCCTCTGATGGTATGCCCAGCCCACTTCCATTTTAGTTTTATAATCGTAATAGTTACATCTTTTGTTTTTGTGTGATTTTTTATTATCGATATATTTATTCTGTGAGAAAGTTTTTTAGTATAGAAAACTTACTAATGTACCTACTTATTTGGAACCGCTTGGTTTTTAGGTGCTCGCCATATTGCCTCATGTTCCAGAGAATCAAAAGCCTTACTATAGTCTACAAAGCAGCAATGTAATATATAGGAAGATAAAGAATAATGAAAATATTTTTATATTGATGTAACTGATGACAAGTCGAAATCGTACCTAGTCACGTGACATTTATTCCCACACCATTTTAGATTGTATGGCCATTATTTTCGTCTAAGGCCACATTATTTTTAATTCCAACTCTTCAAATCCTGGATGGATAACAAAATAATTATGATTGACTTTGTAATTTGTTCGCCGTTTCTGGTGACTTTTGACCTTTAGAAATTATCTCTGACAGCACTACCATAGCAAACACGGTTGATAAATTCATTAGAAACACATTGTCGAAAAAAATCAACTGGCAATGTCCAAATAAAGTAAATTTGCTTACTCATACATTTATCAGTTTGATAGTTTAATTTTATATTTTTAACCCCGCCCAATTATTATCGGTTGTCACTTCAATGTATATTACATACTTATCTACAAGATAAGATAGTTTATTAAAGCAATATTCAATGAAAGTTGGTAAGAAACAAACGTAACCATGAATTCATGGGAAATAAATTATCAAAGTGATTCTAATGAAAATGCTTCGGTGATAACAATAGATGGAACGGTTTATAACCCTCCAACTTACGAAGCCGAAGCGGAACTGCAAGCCCTACCAGAGACACCAGAAATACATCCAGACAATATTCTTTATCCTAATACCATTTGGTTTAACGCTAAACCGCTAAATAAATTTGCGAAAACCTACGAATTAGAGAAATTCGAGAAGAATTTGTTAATAATATTCAATCAAGAAAACATAGTTGGATATGAGCCTAGATTGGGCACGGAAAAGGATGTCACTGCTTTGATAAATACATTTTCACAATTTGGCTTTGAAATTGAAACGTATAAAGATAAAACGAAAAGTTTCGTTCTGGGTGTATTAAGAAACTGTAAGTAAATTTATTTATGTATCTGTTACGGTAAACGTAATAGGAGTATTTTATTATACAGCCGACAATGTTTAAAAGTGATTTATGTTTTAACTTTGTCTAAAACAATAAAAAATGACGTTGATTGTTTTGAAAAAAACGAAACTTAGTATTATGACAGCTGGCAGCAGCATATAAATAGTTAAAAAATATTTAGACTAAATAGCATTGCTATATATTTCGGGTTGTCCTTTCCCCTATAATATGACGAGAGAGGCTGGCTTCTTGAGAACTGGGTGCTGTTTCTGATAGTTGCCTTAAATTCTTATATCCATGGTTGTTCATCTTGTTTTGTTGTTCTCGCTATATTAAAGGTGTTTTCCTATATCGCCATACCCATAGCTGGGATCGATTATTTTTAATGATCATCATTCATTGTGATGTGGAGCAAAGTTTTGAGAACTTTAAGTCTTGTAAAATAAAATACTAGGCGGTGAGTTTCTTACCAGTTCTCGTTACATTCCGTGGTAAAATTTTTCATATTTTGTATTTTGGGATTGAATGATAATGTGATATCATCATGATTTAAACACGATTCAGCGAGCGATATGACGTTTTTTTAATAGTGTAATCGTAAAGCGGAGAGATAGGGAAGCAAGTAGCTTAGTTTTTTGTTTGTATGATCTACTGTAATTTTGAAATTGTGATCTTTGAATGTATCATCTTTTTATGTCATCTTTTTGTGTTTTAAAAAAAATTACAGTAAAAAAGTTCATGTGTTGTGTTGTGTTCTATAATGTTATATGATAGTTTATTTTATTCAACGCGTTTGGATTTTTTTTAAACATACATAAAATAACAAGACATCGAATATATCTCAAAACTTATATACTAAGGCCATTGATATATCGACGGCAGCAAGTTAGAGAGATGTGCATTTTTGCCAAAATAGTTTTTTACATAATTCAACACATAATTCTGTTTTATCTTGTAAAATTTTGTTTTATACTCCAATTAGTCAACGTATAAAAAGACATTAACACTGTTTTTAAAAAAATGACTAAGTACAAACGGACATATACGTCCTTGGGTGCGTTGGGCATTTTGGGCGCGTCAGCTTTGTTATAAACAAAGATCAATTAATTTTGACCGTTTCCTTATGGGTGCCCGGTGTTTTGAAAATAATATTAACAATAACGCTTAATTTTATAATAATAAAATGAATAATAGAAGGAACAAATCATTGTTAAGTTTAGCCAAGAAACGAAAACAAAGTGATTTTAAGTGAAAATCTTTTTCCGTACTTTCCGTATTTTAACAGTCTTTATAACATTTTTGTGCCATCCCGATTCGTTGTACTCTTTTATTTATTTATTCACTGCGCTGCAATACAAAAGAATAAGAAATACAAGAATTACAAAAGTCACGATTAGACGAGCAGGATTTATTTTACTTTTTTGAATGACTAATTTTAAAATTTATTAATTTTTTGGGGTTAGTTATGAGATTTCGGGTTAACTTTGATTTATGGGACATAAATCTCATGTATTTTTAACAATCATGGATTATAAAAGCCGAAGTAGGTACTTATGTGCAAAGTGTGATCTTTCTACTTAAGACATTTATAAGATTACGTACGTGAATAACTGGCCTCTTACAGATATTATCCTTTATTTGTATAGATTTAAACTTTTTAAGTCAGTTAAGAGACCCAAGAACCTATCGTAACGCTTTTAAAAAAATGTCTATATAAATATAAGCTCAAAACACGAAGACGGCTTGACCAATTCCAGTATTTTTTTATGTTTTTCATGAAGTCTGATGAAAGATGGTTTTTTTTATGGCTACTAAAGTGGCTTAGTGGTACCAATTTCATGCGCCGGCCAAGAAAATGATAGAAATGATTGTTGATTGATTGATGGTCTTCCTTTTGACATATTAACAACATGTTAGCGTCCCGACCAGGTCCACGACACAGGGAATCCTAGTGCGGTATATTGCACTTTCTTATTACCTAAATATCCTTTTTATTGTGTATAATATATCTTTTCTTTCTTACAATTCATTCATTCACAAAAAATATATACAGAGTTTTATTACGATCAAGATAATTACTGTCGAACTATAATGAAGTGTTCTGAAGAGTAGGACAAGGTGGATGACTCTCTTTGTATCCTGTTTTCATAGATAACTTATCAATTTATTACAGTTATTTGTGTGACTAATAAGAATATCCTTAAAAATTATCTTCGATATACCAACGGAAATGAGACTTCATATATAAAATCCCCGAGAAGAAAGTCGAATAAAAGTCACAGAAGTCCATAATCTGCTCATAGTAAATATGTTTGGACGTAATATAAAATGATTTTCTACATATTTATCCTCTTGTAAGGAAATTCCCCATTTCAATCCAAATTTTTAATACAAAACTGGACAGACGTTACCACAATTCTAAATGATATTATACATGTGGCCATTGGGATAAGACTGTCTAATAGATAGCTTGTAGCTTTAAGTTCTCAAATCAAGGGCGTAGAATGGAAGAGAAGAACTGGCAATAAACTCTCCGCCACTCTTTGTATCGCCAAGTTTTTTGTTGTACACAATGTTTGTAAGCAACCATTACACCATGTTCCTCATGACTTCTTAAGTTATTAATAGTTAATTAATAATAATAAAATAAATCAAAAACAAAGATTTGTTCTCTATCAGCAGGAGGCATGGTGAAATAGGAGCACGCACTTACATTCTCGTCTAGTCACCACAAGTAGCACCCGTTCACGAGTGTGTATTATGTATTATACTGTCTAGGGAATACGGAAGGGGGCAAGGACTCCACTTCTTTGCAGTTTTAATAAGAAACAACGAACCATATCGTGCAACGGCCTGGGGATGTCGACAACGAAGGGGTGAAACACCAGCGTGTGTCCAGAGCGTTGTGAAAAAGGGGATGACGAATTCGATTGTTTCATGGAGCATTCTCTGGAGTACAATTGATAGAAGACTGAAAGAAAATTAAACGGCGATGGTTTTTTTTTTTTTTTTTTTAATATAATAGGGGGGCAAACGAACTTGCGGGACGACCAAATAGGGCAGTCTGTGCAGCCCATAGACATTAGACACCCACTTTTAGTGGGTGCGTTTAACACTGATACGAATGAGTTTATATATGTTTTAAACATACATGTATATACATCATTGTTCCATAGTCCGTTTAATAGATTGTGTCGGATTGACATAAAAAATGTGATGAATAATGACACGGTGGACATCTAAACTTATTTTTTTAACTCCATAGAGACCTATCGCCGAGTCGTTTTAGCAACAATGCATTGTTAATTATTTGCGATTATTATTTCTTTATTCCTACATAATTATTTACATTGTATATTAGCAGTTGGTTGGGGGACCCATGCGACACCTTCAATACGAAGAGTTCCCTCGATTGTGAGGAAGTCGCATGGATCTGGTTAGCGCTGAGCCATCTTAAATTTTCCACGTGTATATCCTTTTTATAATATTTTCATAGGTATTTGATTGTCCTCATTTAATTATCTTTCACATTGTAATGCATATGTACTTGTAATGAATAAACTCATTTTTTTAAATTATGTGTGATGTTTGATAGAAAAAATATAATAAAATATGGAATTGGTGCAGCTGATTTAAAATTACTCATCAGCGTGCGCGTCGCCAATAAAAATAAATCAGTGGCGCTACAAACTTTTTAGGTTATAACAGATACAGAAATCTGGGCCTCAGGTTTCTTTATCTGTTTCATGATCATTTGTTAATCTAACAGAAATGTACATGATCAGCTTCCTGCGCCTGACACACGTCTTTTTGGGTCTAAGGCAAGCCGGTTTCCTCACGATGTTTTCCTTCACCGTTAGAGCGAATGTTAAATGCGCAGATAGACAGAATTCCATTGGTGCACAGCCGAGGCTCGGACCTATGACCTCAGGCATGAGAGTCGCACACTGAAGCCACTAGGCCAGCACTGCTTTTGCGTCGCGTCTCCATTACTGCGATAAAACTGTCTTTCGTTCGTCATTTCGTGAAATTGTGTCTTGCCTAAGGAAACACTTCTCAAATGATACATGTAAACTTTTGCAGTCAAATACAGAAATTTCTCCGACTATGGGTGCGTGGCGGTGGTTGTGCTGACCCATGGGACTACGGAGGGCTTAATACGAGCGAAAGATCAATTTTACAAGGAGTTTGACGTAATAGACGCATTCAAAACGTATAACAATCCGTCTTTAATCACAAAACCTAAACTTCTATTTATCCAGGTGAGGATATATTAGTTTATTTATTATTTACATCCACAAGAAAATATCTATTTATTTATTTATTTAACAAAGCAGAGTTACAGATTTCCAATGCGGTAACTACAGTCAAAATCTGTTATAACGACATCGAAGGGACTACTCATAAAAACCGATAGTCGTAACAGCCGATGACGTTGTTATTAAGTACCTACGTACTAATTAAGTACGGTCAATATAATCGGTATGTTGTTCTAAAGTCTAAACGATGTCGTCATAAACGGTTTTGACTGTATAAAACAATTGGAATGGCCTTTTTTATCCTCATTAGATTACATTAACTCCATATTTAACATTAGAACACGACCTACCACGGAGTGAACCTCCTCCAAAATTTTCCACTTGTCTCTCATATCTTTTCTTCCCACTAGGCCATTCCCAGTTAGGGTATTTTTGACCCATCTCTCATCACAATTGCGGGCCACGACCGGACTAATTTCCACTTCAACTTTTTGAATGTAGTACACCGTTTAATTTTGTCTTTAAGTTTCAATCGAAGACTTATAATTTATTATAATAAAAGCTATTTTAACGTTCCAGGCTTGTCGTGGTAAGCAGTCCGTCAAAGGAGTCAATGTTGGTACTCCAACAACTCTCTCGATAAAAAAAGATGAATGCCATATCGAACCATATACCTTACCAGCTGAGTCGGATATGTACGTTCTCCACAGTTCATACATGGGCAAACCTTCACATAGGTAAGTACTTTTTATATACCAATTGAAATAAGCGTAGGTACCAATACTTACCTTTATTATTTTTGCGTCAGATAGTTCTGTCTCGTTTTTTAATCTTACGCAGTGATGCAAACTTGGGGATTTTCCCCCAAAATTTAGGGGGAATCAAGATACCTAGCAGGTCTTTTGAGGGGTACATTTATTTAGAGGGATTTTATTCAAGTTTATTTTCTCTCATCTTCTACCGCATTGACCACGAAATGTTCAGAGTTGGTCGTATTAATACCTGCAGCTGAGTTTCACCATGGGACGTTGAGGCAGAATACGAAATTCCACCCGTATCACCTACGGACCGACTACCCGTTGAAGTATTAAGGAACCAATTCGACTTCCTTCAAGAAAAGAGCGTACCAATTTTTACAAGGTCTGCAATGCACTCGGGACTGGCATGGGCAGCGGTATCACTTAACATCAATTGAGGGTTCTGCCCCAGTTCTAAAAAAATATTGTCCAAAATTGTTTCTTTAATGTTTAGCATTTATTAAATTACGTCTAAATTTACAGAGACGAATTCAACGGTACATGGCTAATTCAGACATTGTGTAAAAAGATAAATGAATTAGCCCCAACCCACGACTTGGCCAGTATAGTCACTGAGGTGAAGCAAGAAGTGGCAATCGATTTGTGCTTCGAAGAATATAACACAGAAACATTAGAAGTGGAGACGAACACACAAGTGCCTGTGGATACGTCGACTCTGATTCGGAAGTTGTATTTTCGGAAGTATGGGGAATCTGTATCGTATACCGACTCACGTGTAGAAAGAAGTGATTCGATCACGCCTTTACTGGAATTTGGGCCTTGTGTCTGCTTTTTGGACTACTTCGCGTATATAACGGAATGTTTACGGTAATAAACTCAAAATAACTTTATACATATAGGTAAACAAGTACACTAATGAAAGTCAAAAAAGAAGTTAAATTAATTGTAAATTTACATTTAGTACCAGTTCGCAAGTCAAGGGCGTAGATCGGGCAAGAAGAACTGGCATGAAACTTTCCGCCACTCTTTTTTATCGCTAAGTTTTGAGTCATGCAAATTGTTTGAATTGGAGCAGATCAATCCCAAAGATTAGGATCATTTAAATATTCGCCAATTTATAAGATCATTTAAATAATATCACACAGAAATATAAACAAATTCTTTATTATAATCAATCAGTGAAGCTACAACCTTTTTTTGTCTGTGCCTCAGATTTCTCTATCATGATCATTTGTAGCTGATCATGATAAAGAAATCAAACTAGCTGCTGTGGTCTCTGGCAGAATGACCAGCGCTGTGGAACATTCTGCTCCTCAGCATAATGCTGAGCCAGGGCCAATTACAGCCACAGCACACACGCATTACACACTTGAAAAGAACCGAATAGAACATATTATCTTTAATTTTTTATTATTGTTATTTTGTGTGTATTTTTGTTAGATAGTAATTAATGTTATGTCTATGTCTAAATACTTTATCCCACAAACTAATTGTACGAAAGTTGTCAAATTTATACACGTGTCTTTTGAAGGTTACAGCTATCTAGGAAAAATCATATAATTTAAATACTAGTAGCGCCATCTATGTTTCAGCCTACGAACTTATCAGCCCACCTATTATTTAGTTAGATAAAAAAAGGTTTTTAAAGTTGTCACTAACGTATTATGACCACCGCTTACGCTTACGTCATTTCATAGTTAACATCTACATTTATGAACTTTCAGGTTATACTTAGAACACAATCCAGAAGATGCAATAGCGCAGTACTTCATCGAAGCGTCAGAAACCATTGACAGTTCCGAGATGAGTGGTTCTAAAGAGAAAATGACTAATGCAATTGTTAATTACTTACGTAATCATGCTAAGCAATTTGATTTTTACAAATATATGTATTTTAAAAAATGATTTATAACATTTTACTTAAAACCTTATCCTTTATGGCCAGACGCTCCGACGCGATCCGGCGAAACAATAATTGTATCGGATTCAAAGACAGAAACGTCACCATTTTGTCTATTAAGAGAAATTTGTTAATTATGTATGTAAAGAAATAATTTTATTTCTTAGATTAGATTCTTTAGATTGTTAATTATCTGTTATTTGTTACCTAGCGCGTTATTTAATTTGTAATTTTGAGTTTGTTAGTCTGTGGAAAAAGGCGCGAGTTTTGGCTTGTCGTTTTAATTTTTCAGGTAGAATTTTTGTTAGATCATTTTAGATTTTAATTAGGAATTAGATTTAAATTGTTTTGAAGAACTTTTATGAAATAACAAACTAAATGTTGTTTCGATCATTATTTCAGCAACACATTGGAGTTTCACTCATCATATATGTTTACAACAAAAAATAGTACGCTTTATTAAGTCTAGGAACCATTAGAATATCAAGTATGAGAGATGTCTTTAAGCTAATGTTGATGCTTGAACATGCAGAACAACAAAAATTTGTACTCGACAACGCTATGCCTCAATAGAAATTTACTCAGAAATATATGTGATGCATAGGGGCTAATAATAAAATACTAAGAGTATGGGATGTGCTATCTTGAAATAAATCACAACCCATTTTTTATCTTTGTTAATTGGTTTATTCTTCACAAACAAGAGTAATTAATTTATATTCACATAGAAACGCTCAAGGAAGAAAAACCTATATATATTCACTTGTCTTCAAAGTCCGTCTGAGTGACGTCTGTTTTCTTAGTTTTTTGATCAGGCGTTACTTTTTCAAGCTTAAAATTATACACAATGGTAGATTACGTTTGTTTATTGTCAGCAGCACGTCTACTCCAATCACTGACACGCAATCGTTGGATTTGCCCAATCACAATCAAGTAAAACGTCATATTTGGTTTCCCTTGTGTAGAATTAAGCACTCTACTTTTGGAAGCATTTTAATTGGCCACTTTTAGTCTCTGGTTGCCATTATCAGTAACTGATAAACCACTATACGCAGCATTTATAACCACTTATCAGCTGTCACTGTACTACACCAATCATATAATTTCTCTAGAACATTATTTGTGATCAAATTGTGAACAGACAATGTCTACTTCTACAAATATTACTTTTGCTGCCGGAAGAAAAATTTGTGAATGTACTATGTGTCAATTGAAGAAAGAGTTAGAAGATAACGATCGTTCAACGACTGACGGAACCGTTTATAACCTACCAGAATATGAAGCCAACGTAACGCCATCAGCAAAACAGAAACCTATTCAAAGAGTGTCCATAGTATTTAAATCTAACCAAAAGCCAAGTGTTAACACCAAGGTGACGTCAGAGGCAAATCCTCAGTCGCCAAACAGCTCCAAGACAGTTAACAGCCCAAAAATTTCCGAATCCAAAGTAACGGAACCAAAAACTGTGTTGGCAACAAATTTACCTTTAGAAAATCAAACGCCAAGTGATGTTACCAAGGTGACGCCAGAGGCAAATCCTCAGTCGCCAAACAGCTCCAACACAGTTAACAGCCCAAAAATATCTGAATCCAAAGTAACAGAATCAACAAATGTGTTGCCAAGAGCTGTAAATCAAAAAGAACAACCAACAAAAAATGTGATATTACCATCAAGGAAATGTTCACAACCAAAGATAATAAATATTAAGGAAGATAGAACGAACACTAGACCATTAAACAAATATGCAAAAACATACGAATTAGAGAAATTCGAGAAGAAATTATTGATAATTATCAACCAATATGAGATAATTGGCTACAAGGAACCTCGTTGGGGTACAGAAAAAGATGTAAGCGCTTTGACAAACACGTTTCCGAAATTCGGATTTCAGATTGAATTACATGAAGAAAAAACGGTGTCGGAGGTGTCTACGTTGCTGGGAACGTGTAAGTCTGATTTAATTGCTTTACTAATTGACTCTCATCCGTGAGATCGTAGGTTCGATCCCCGGCTGTGCACCAATGGACTTTCTATGTGCGCATTTAACGTTCAAACGGTGAAAGAGAACATCGTAAGGAAACCGGCTTTAGACCCAAAAAGTCGACGGCGTCTGTCAAGCACAGGAGTTTATAACAAGGTTGAATAGAAAAAAAAAAAAACAACGGGAGCACTCCGGGAGTGCCGGCAGAAGTGAAAACTTCAATATTAACGTTGTGTTTAATTATAAGTATAAAAGTACTATCATTTATGAGGTAGAATACAATGTTTATTTATTGCGCTATCGTACATAAATATGACAATTTATATGTTGTTATTTATAATATTATATCGTTATTTATATATTACATTAAATTTTATCTCTCAGAAAAATCAACTTCCATCCATAATTTCGACGACTTTTACACCATCGTTATTATCAGAATCATCATCGCAAATTTTTACAACTGATACAATTGGTTTATGATAACTGAAGTAAGAAACAAACAGTTTTGATTCGAACCTATTTAAGTGCCTAATAAAGACCGTACTCATTTGCTTTCACTACTTCATCATCACTTTTTTCATTAATAGATTCACTTTGTTCGATTTCCATAATTTAAACAATTCACATTTACGAATACACAACAGTGTATTTACTACACAACAGTCAAGCAATCAGCTGTCACCATCCTTGGATACGCGTGGGACGCTGTACATAAACACACACGGTCATTCGCGCAAGCGCCCTGTGCCGCCTAAACAGAGCAGCACACTCAGGCACGGTAGAAAGAGTGGGAGATACTAGTTCCTCTCCCTTCCCCTCGATCTTACGCTTTTTCGATCAGCATCACGTGACCCTGACGCAAGTTTGAAAGTTTTTACCCATACAAAAAGTGCTCAGCGCCGCTAAAGAAGTTTTCACTTCAAAAATTAATATATAAGTACAGTGCCCATTGATTTTTTAATAAGTCGTTATGTATACAATGACACTTCGCTTTGCACTGTTTATATATACAATATTATATATATGTTAACTGTGTAATAAATTAGTAATCTATATATAAGTAATCTTACAGCTCCACATATCGGTATTACAAAGAAAGCCAAAACAGATTACATTGATAAACAAAATATACGAAACAGAAAACATGAGCCAATTAAGTACATGAATTCATCAAAAATGAAAACTGAAATTAAACAAACATACTACAACTTTCATAATTCCATCCGCCCGGTCGATATGACACGTACGATATGACAGTGTTGCGCGTAACAAAAATGAAGTAAACGCAAAATGTTTTTTTTTTTTCAAATAGCTCGTAAAATATACAATATTTCATTAAATCTCTAGGAATACTCGCCATGATTGAATAAAACTAAATTGGGCAAAAGTTAGGGGTGACTTAGTATTTTTTTTATATTGTATCGTGTTATTAGAAATTTGAACACAAAGAAACAGAAATAACAAAACTAACACCCATTTGATATTAAATTTTTTGACAAAATTCAAAATCATTTATTAATTTAGGTAACACAATGTACGCTATGAACGTCAATAATAAAACTACAAATGCTTCTAATTTTACATTTACTGCCAGTTTCCAAAACAAGAGCGTAGAAGCACGCCAAGTTTTTGATTTACTCAATGTTTGTAAGGAGCTGCAACCATTACACCATGTTCCACATGACTTCTTAAGTAATCAATAGATTATTAATCATAATAAAATAAATTAAAAACAAAGATTTTTCCTTTATCAGCAGGAGGCATGGTGAAATAGGAGCACGCACTTGCTTGATTCCCGAAATTTTCAGTGCCGCCCTCGTACCAAGGCAACTTCTTGTATGTCAGTATATACATTATTCACAGGTTTCATTCATCATATATATTAACAATTAAAAATAGTACACTTTACTAAGTCTAGGAACCATTAGAATATCTAAGATGAGAGATGTCTTTGAGCCCATGTTCACGCTGGAATATGCAGAACAACAAAAAATTGTACTCGACAACCCTATGCCTCAATAGAATTACCTAATAGACATATACATAATATGATGTATCGGGGAGAGCATATTAAGCGCGTTTAACCAAATGGCAGCCTCTGACAAAAAATATTGAAATTATATTGCAATGAGTTGTTGCGGAAGTTTTTTGATAAGGCGTTACTTTTTCAAGCTTCAAATAATACACAATAATATATTACGTTTGTTTATTGTCAGCAGCACGTCTACTCCAATCACTGACACGCAATCGTTGGATTTGCCCAATCACATTCAAGTGAAACGTCATATTTGGTTTCCCAGGCGTGTAAAATTAGGACTCTACTTTTGGAAGCATTTTAATTGGCCACTTTTAGTCTCCGGTTGCCATTATCAGTAACTGATAAACCACTATACGAAGCATTTATAACCACTTATCAGCTGTCACTGTATTATACAAGTCATATAATTTATCAAGAACATTATTTGTGATCAAATTGTGAACAGACAATGTCTACTCGTCTTACTTTTTCTGCTGGAAAAAGACCGAACAGAACCGTTTATAACCTACCAGAATATGAAGCCAACGTAACGCCATCAGCAAAACAGAAACCAAACCGAAAGCCAAGTGATGTTACCAAGGTGACGTCAGACGCAACTCCTCAGTCGCTAAACAGCTCCAAGACAGTTAACAGCCCAAAAATATCTGAATCCAAAGTAACGGAACCAAAAACTGTGTTGCCTACAAATTTACCTTTAGAAAACCAAAAGCCAAGTGATGTGATCACGGTGACGCCAGAGGCAAATCCTCAGTCGCCAAACAGCAACAAGACAGTTAACAGCCCAAAAATATCAGAATCCAAAGTAACGGAACCAAAAATTGTGTTGCCAAGAGCTATAAATCAAAAAGAACAACAAACAAAAAATGAGATATTACCATCAAGGAAATTTTCACAACCAAAGATAATAAATATTAAGGAAGATAGAACGAACACTAGACCATTAAACAAATATGCAAAAACATACGAATTAGAGAAATTCGAGAAGAAATTATTGATAATTATCAACCAATATGAGATAATTGGCTACAAGGAACCTCGTTGGGGTACAGAAAAAGATGTAAGCGCTTTAACAAACACGTTTCCGAAATTCGGATTTGAGATTGAATTACATGAAGAAAAAACGGTGTCGGAAGTGTCCACGTTGCTGGGAACTTGTAAGTCTAATTTAATTGCTTTGCATTGCTATATTTACTACTTTACTATTGGGCAGTGCAAAGAGCAGTGTTGGCCTAGTGGCTTCAGCATGCGAGTCTCATCCCTGAGGTCGTAGATTCGAACCCCGGCGGTGCACCAATGTATTTTCTTTTCACTCAAACAGTGAAAGAAAAATTCCTGGGGAAACCGGCTTGCCTTAGACCCAAAAAGTCCACGGCGTTTGTCAGGCGCAGGAGGAGTTTTATAACAAGGTTAAATAGTTTAAAAATAATAATATATGTAGTACAACTACAGTGTCCAATGCATTCTTAAATAAGCCGTCATGGATATGTCGCAGTAATGAAGTTAAATCAGAGAGTTAATTGAATCTCTAGACATTTAATTAAATATCGATATTGAATCTAAATATAAAAAAACTAACACCCATTCGATATCTAATTTTTTAACAAAATTCAAAATCATTTATTCATTTAGGAAACACAATGTAATCTTGTTAACGTCAATAAAGAAAGACAAATTAAATGCTTCTAATTTTACATTTACTGCCAGTTCTCAAATCAAGGGCGTGGAAGCACTCTTTTTAATCGCCAAGTTTTTTGTTTTACTCAATGTTTGTAAGTAGCTGCAATCATTACACCATGTTCCACATGACATCTTATGTAAGTAATAATAATAAAATAAATTAAAAACAAAGAATTGTCCTCTATCAGCAGAAAGCATGGTGAAATAGGAGCACGCACTTACATTGTCGAAATAACTAACATCACCGCATACACGAATTCAAGTCCGACCAGTCACCACAAGATTTTGGCAATGGATCTTACCAACAGGCTAGATGGTAATCAATCTGCGCCTCGCGTCGAAAAACCTGTTTTAGTTTAAATTTCAAATCTTGACTTCTACGACTTTTGAACATGGAAGTGCAGTGCATACCAAGTTCCTGCCTACCAGACTCGTCTTTTTTTGACGGTCGTCGCACCAACGACCACTATTTAAGCCTCGACTTGAGCTATCGGGGAATATGCTTAAGAATATGCATACCGCTAAATCACCTGCTTCTTGGGCACACCTCACACACTTACCCTCACTTTTACACAATTACACAGCACTGCATTAGGTATAACGTATTTAATAGTTTTTATTGTTTTTTTTATTTAGTAAATATTTAACTTTTTGTATATATTATGTGAAATAAAGAAAGTTTCACAGTCTTAAACGCGTGTAAGCGATACATTTTTGTCCTTGTTCGAACTATATTTCGGATCTAAATTGCGTGCTAAATTAGTAATATAAATTTTCAGTTGACCATCGTAATTTCTCGGAATATGGTTGTGTGGCAATTGTAGTTCTTACTCATGGGACAAAGGGTGGCTACTTACACGCCAAGGACGGCCTTTACCACGAATACCTTCTATTAAATGCATTTAAAACGCAGGATAGGCCTTCCTTGGTGACAAAACCAAAGCTCCTAATTATTCAGGTAAGGCAATTTGACGAGGTGTTAACCGATTTTGAAAATCTCGATGTGTAATTATATCGTGTATGTACATTTATTAAAGTTTACCACATATAATATAATGCTATATCTACAGTCTCTGTTACAAGCTATCTTTTCTAGAATATATGATAATTATGTTAGTTTAGTTAGTCTTTTGTATGTTTTTTTCATATGTAATGTTTTGCATTTGATGGACCGCATTGGAGTAATCTGTAAAGCTTATTTTGTTTAATAAATAATAAAGGACAATATTAAATTTTATACAAAAATTGTTTCAGGCCTGCCGTGGTGAACAGTCTGTAGAGGGTGTTAACGTTGGCACACCAAGTACTATTAAAAGAGACTCGACCTCCTTTGAACCATATCTATTACCAGGTGAAACGGACATTTATGTTCTCCACAGTTCTTACGATGGAAAACCTTCGCACAGGTAATTCTTATATCTCTGTTATAAAACGAAAAATTCATATATTTATACAGGCTGACCCGGCAAACGTTGTTTTGCCATGTATATTATTTCTAGGAAATATTTTATTAGTTCAATAAAAATACATAACTATCTACTATAATAAAAATAGCAGTTGATGGTAGAGGGGTGAAAATTAAGGGTTGTATGTATTTTTGTATGCTGTATCATAAAAAAAAAATATTTTGTGTGGACACCCCTTATCACTTAGGGGTTTGAAAGATAGATAGAAGCCGATTCTCAGACGTACTGAATATGCATAACATTTTCATAAGAATCGGTCGAGCCGTTGTGACACGAGAATTTTATATATTAGATATAGGCTGGCTCGAAGGACCAAAATGTACTGTTTCTGGGTAATCGGGGTGCTTTAAATAATAGAAGATTTTATTTTAACTCTTTAATTAACCACTCGCAATAGAACAATAGAATATGTGCGAAATAATGCAATGTAACTGTCGAAGAGTGTACCTACGTCTGGCTATACTCTGACGATTTTGGTAATCGCCATGCTTATAAAACTAAGAAAGCCTGTATGAGCAAAATGTACAGCCTAGGCTCATACAACATCTATACCAACAATCGCTGCAGTGGATGTCATAACGCGCTAATATTTGAGACCGCTTAGATAGAACTTCTCGTCCCCCCCCCAAAAAGACCATTACGTACTTTAGAGGACGTTCAAATCCGTAAGCCCTCAGCGTTGCTTATAAGTGTTAAGCCTGGCCTATCAGTTTATTTCTGTCTTCTTGCTCCTGTATCTTATTAAATAAGTTTTGTTTCCCCTGAATGAGCCAAAGCTAGTTAGTGTTTATATTATATTAATACGTGGTGCAACATAATAATCTAAAGGGCGACAACGCGAGCCCTCTGGCCTTGAGAGTCCATGTGCGCTTAACATGTCGCTTAACATCAAGTGAGCCTCTTGCCCGTTTGCCCGCTATAACAATAATAGGAATACCGCATACATCACTGTTGTGTCGAGGTATTCCTATAAAAATAAAATGAAAACGTATTTACAGAGACATATTCGACGGTACTTGGCTAATTCAGACATTGTGTAAAAAGATAAATGAATTAGCCCCAACCCACGACTTGGCCAGTATAGTCACTGAGGTGAAGCAAGAAGTGGCAGTCGATTTTTGCTTTGAAGAATATAACACAGAAACATTAAAAATGGAGACGAACACACAAGTGCCTGTGGACACGTCGTCGCTTATTCGGAAGTTATATTTTCGGAAGTATGGTGAAGCACCGATTTCTGGGATACCGACTACTCCTGATATAGGATTGGAGAAATGCTCATGCTTTAAGGACTATTTCGCATACATAAGGACGTGTTTGCGGTAAGTTTTTATACAGAAATACTAATCATTATTACTTCATGATATTTTATAAATATGGTTGGTTGGGAGAGCGCGCCTCTCGCGTACCCTTAGTGTTATATATTTCGTCGTCCATCGACCATCGTCCATCGTCCATCGTTCTATCGTCCATCGTCCATCATCCATCATCCATCGTACATCGACTATCGTCCATCGTCCATCGTCCATCGTCCATCGTCCATCGTCCATCGTCCATCGTCCATCGTCCATCGTCCATCGTCCATCGTCCATCGTCCATCGTCCATCGTCCATCGTCCATCGTCCATCGTCCATCGTCCATCGTCCATCGTCCATCGTCCATCGTCCATCGTCCATCGTCCATCGTCCATCGTCCATCGTCCATCGTCCATCGTCCATCGTCCATCGTCCATCGTCCATCGTCCATCGTCCATCGTCCATCGTCCATCGTCCATCGTCCATCGTCCATCGTCCATCGTCCATCGTCCATCGTCCATCGTCCATCGTCCATCGTCCATCGTCCATCGTCCATCGTCCATCGTCCATCGTCCATCGTCCATCGTCCATCGTCCATCGTCCATCGTCCATCTTCCATCGTCCATCGTCCATCGTCCATCGTCCATCATCCATCATCCATCGTCCATCGTCTATGCAATATTGATGTAATTCTTACAACATCAGCGCTGATGAACGTAGGGTTTATAAAACTCAATTTTGAAGTTATGTGCGCAAACGCTGATGTGACAAAAGTACAACACGCATGGTTCCTGAAAAAGAATCCCCTCTACTTAATTTCCATGTTCATACGCTGCACGAAATATGACAGCTCTGGTCAACTTTTACCGTGAAACTCTTTACAGGTTGCATTTAAAACAAAATCCTGGTGATGCCATTACGGAGTACTTCATCACAGCATTAGAATCGTTGGAAAGCTGTTCCGATACGAGCGATAAAGAAAAAATCACGAAGGCCATTGTGAATTACTTAAGCTTGAACAGCAAACAAAGCTTATTCTACAAAAGTATTCATTTTCAAAATTAATTGTAGTCAAGTAATGGTTGATGATATTTTATCAGCATTTGAGAGGCTTGCTGACTCACAACTGTGTATGTTCCGTTGAGAAATTTAATTGTAATTCGATCAACACCGGAACAAACTTGCCCGTGAAGTCAAAACTCTGGTACGTGGACTCTCGGACTGAGTTCGGATAAATCTAGTCCAATTAACTGTCTTGGGCAACCCCAAGATATCCAAGAAGACAGAAGTTTGTGCGTATTCCGCTAAAAACGCTCTCTTCGAAGACACTCTTGCATTGGGTGTTGACATATCGAATGACGTTCAGTTTTGCGGTCATTTGGGTGGGAAGGCTAAATTATCCTATAAGAAGCTTGGTGTACTATGCAAAGCGAGACGGTAATTCACTCCGGGCAACGATTGTGTAAATTAGTTTAAATAGAAAATTAATCCTTGAACTAAATTAACTATCCGACTGTAGGAATGCCAAATGCACTCTCAGTAATTTGATCTCATAATTATTTTATGGATCAGAAATTTTGCCATCGTTTCGTCGAGTATTTGCTGTACAGTTTACACATACATTGCAATCAAAGGGGAGCTACCTAAACCCCAACCTAGACGTATACCGCGGAGAACCGATTTGGTAAAATTTTATAAACTTATCAGCTCCGAGGTAGACAAACTATCGATACCAACCACCATAAATATACAAGACATAGACAAACATGTAAACAACCTAACGTCCCTACTCCTGACAAGCTATGAACGGTCGTGTCCCCTTACCATACCAAGATGGGGAGGGAGACATAACTGGTGGTGCCCCGAACTGGAGAGACACCGACGGAAGGTCAGGAAGCTGTTCAATAGAGCAATGAACACACGGTTACCCACCGACTGGGACAAGTACACGGTCGCGAGAAGGCGATTCAAAAAACTTTTACGTACTAGGAAGCAGGAGTGTTGGAGACACTTCTGCACCAGTATTGAAACAAACAACCAGGCAACCAGGGTGAAATCATGCCTCTCCAGAGAGCCCAATCACTCGATCGGTTGTCTTAAAAAACCTGACAATTCATTTACAAAAACTGACTCAGAAACATGTGAACTACTACTGGCAACACACTTTCCGGGTTGCATAATTGCCAACGAACAGGCCTGGCAACCATACTCAGAGAGAGCCACCGACAGCTCAGACTGGCAAGTAGCTCACAAAATAATCTCTAATGAAAAAGTAACGTGGGCAATCAACTCCTTCCTTCCATTCAAAGCGGCTGGTTTGGACGGCATCTTCCCAGGTCTACTAAGATGGAGTGGGAACTTAATAGTAGACTATCTTGTCTCTGTCTTCCGAGCCTGTATAGCCCACCGATACATACCCTTGAAATGGAGAGAAGTAAAAATCATATTCATCCCAAAACCAGGTAAAGAGGACTATACCCAAGCGAAGTCCTTCAGGCCTATTAGCCTTACTTCATTCTTCTTAAAAACGATGGAGAGGCTAGGAGACCTGGAGATACGCAGCCGGGTATCGCTATCCAAATTCCTACACCCTAATCAACATGCCTATAGCTCGGGCAAATCAACGGACTCATCACTCCACAACGTCGTGTCTCGCATTGGCAACTCCCTGAAGTTAAAGCAGTCAACCCTTGGTGCATTCATTGACATCGAAGGTGCTTTTGACAAAACAAACTTCACGAGTATAACCAGAGCACTAAGGTTATGTGGAGTACCATCAACCCTTATAGAATGGATAAACAACATGCTAAAACAACGAGCTATACAGTTCACGGTAAACTCCACAACACGAGGCATTGTCAGCAGAGGATGTCCGCAGGGAGGTGTTCTATCGCCGCTACTGTGGAACCTTGTGGTTAATGAACTAATCACAGAACTCAACGCTGACAATCTCTACACTGTGGGATATGCTGATGACATAGCTATCTTGATATCTGGGAACTTTGAAAGCACCTTATGTGACCTCATGAGAAGAGCTTTCAAAGTGATTGAGAGATGGTGCAATAAGCACGAGTTATCTGTCAACCCATCAAAAACAGAACTAATACTTTTTACCAACCGAAGAGTTCTTGGACCGTACAAACTTCCGAAACTCTTCAACACTGAACTCATACTCAAGTATGAAATCAAGTACCTAGGTGTGATTTTGGACAGTAAACTGCTCTGGAACAAACATCTAGAACACAAACTAAACAAAGCAACGATCGCCTTTTATCAATGCAAAAAGATGCTAGGCGTGAAATGGGGCTTATCGCCTAAGATAACATTATGGATATACACTGCCATAATTAGGCCAATGCTAGCCTATGGAGCCCTTGTTTGGTGGCCCAGAACTGAACTTCAAACGGCAATTACCAAACTCGGACGCTTCCAAAGGCTTGCTTTGTCCGGTGCTAGCGGTTGCATGAAAACAACACCAACTGCAGCAATGGAGATGGCCCTGCAGATCTTACCCCTGGACCTACACATACAGCAGGAGGCAGCCCTGGCTGCTATCAGGCTTATGGTACTGGATCTATGGGGAAAAAATCACTACAGTGCACACACAGCGATTCTCAACAGGGCAATAGAGTATCAACCTCTTATTGCTGCGCCCTGTGATAGAATCACTAACCAATTAATATTTAACAGGAAATATCTTATACAACTGAGAGAAGAGGAACATGATCGGTCGACCGTAAATGAGCTTCGTATATATACAGATGGATCCAAAACAGGGTCTGGCTCAGGCGCTGGCATATTCTCTCTTGATCTCAACATCAACATACACCTACCCTTGGGCACACAGAGCACGATCTTTCAATGTGAATGTGTCGCCTTAACCGAAGCAGCCAGAGCCGTGCAGCGGCTAGGGATTAATGACTTTTGCATTAAATTCGTATCCGACAGTGCATCCGTGCTGATGGCGCTCGGAAACAAAAAAACCAACAGCAAACTAATACTGGAGTGTCATGAAGCACTGGAGGTCATAACCCGAACCAATAGGGTTACCTTGCAGTGGATAAAGGGACACAGTGGATCTCTCGGCAATGATGCTGCGGACGAGCTTGCGAGAAGAGGCTCCGGAATGATGCCTGCTGGCCCGTATCCGCTCCTTCCTTTGCCCTTCTCGCTGGTGCGAACCTGGATTCGCCAGAGATCCGCTGAACTCCAGCAACAACGATGGTCGCATGGTGCGGCCTGCAGACAGTCCAAAGTGGCTTTGCCAGCAGTAAACCCGCAACTGACAAAGCGACTACTTAACTTAAACAGAACTAACCTTAAGATAATGATAGGGACAATAACGGGTCATTGCCTCCTAAATAAACATCTTTTTATCCTAGGCGCGACAGACAGCCCCCTGTGCAGAGGCTGTTTCAGCGCAGAGGAAACAGTCACCCACGTAGTCCTGGAATGCGAGGCTGTGGCTAATCAACGTGAAAAAATCCTCGGAACAGTGAGGTCGCTCCGGGAAGCCTGTGAAGTGCCCAGGAGACTTCTGTGCTTCTGGAAGGAGCTAGGCTGGCTAAATTAGCCAGGACTCATACGCACAACGGACCAACCTCGAGTCTAATTGCGGAGAAAGGAGTCCTTCAACCCTAACCCCTAACCCTAACACATACATTTCTATGTATGTAAACCAAAAGTTGTGTGTCACAGAAGGTTCACCTACGTGCTTATTAGAAATGCTCATACAGAAATCTGAGGGCCCTAAAAAGTTGTAGCAATGTTATTGGTATATTTGTGATTAATATCAGAAACGATTTTGTAATTATTGATTTAACTTGTTCGGTAATACGTTCATATGTGTTTAATGGTCAGCTAACTAAAATTATTTCTCATAATATGTAATAACTAACACAGCATACTATAAAAAAGAAGATTGAAATGAAAGTAATCGCTTAGTTATAGTTATAATAATCGTTTAGCTTATTTAAACTTCCCTGCTACTAGAAGAAGAGAAAGTGATCAAGAAAAGATATACAGAAATCTGACTCCAAGACATATCAGACTTAGTCAAAATGATTCTTAGATTTACTTAACTACCACATTAATTCAGGCATAGCACGATGTTCTATAGCATAAAGCTTTTCTTGGTAAATAGGCTTTTAAATGCATATATAATGCTAAAGTAGACATAATATAGCGGACTTTTTTGTAGATCTTGTCTTTATAAAACAGTAGTACATACCTTTACTCTATTGTCAAAAGTTTCGCCATAGCACTATCGGAATTTCATGCAGGACTTTTTTTTAAATATTCTATCCTGTGTTCATCAGAGATTCTAATGGTGAGAATTTTCAAATTTTTCAATAGAAAATTCAAAAGCTTTGTAGCCTATTCAATATAAATTTAGTCTCGAATTTGAATCATAGGGTAATGTTCAAAAGCAAGTCTTGACATCTCAGCGCTGTCACGCTGTCAGATCGCTTCTGATTCTTACCCATAGCTAATAATAATAAAAGCCTTTTATTTCAGACACTCTACATTTAAATACATTAAACTTCTATCATCCTCTTTCTATCTGTGTGCCTTTTTTTTTGGCAAAGGCCTCCTTGAAACCCCGCCATTTTTGTCTGGATTGTGCTACTCTGTAGTACCTGCTGTTTTCTTACCACCCCTTTTAAATTGTCGTCCGCTTTTCCATTTATTGTACTTTGGGCACCAGTTTAATACTTTGTTGCTCCACTTTTCTTTTCCTCTTGCCGTGTGGCCTGCTCTTTTCCACTTAAGTTTATTTATTGTGTGTGTGCGTGTCTGCTACGGGAGCGTTCAAGTATTACGTCACGCAATTTTTGGAGATTATTGACCCCCTCCTCCCATGTAACGCGCCGTAACGTTTTTCTGTACCCAAGTACATTACTGTACCCCAGTATAGTAAAACGTTTTGTGACCACCTAGTGACTCTTTATACCTTAAACTTACCATAATGTGGTGTAAAGTACTGTAAGTATTTCAATCCCCGCCCCGCGTTGTAACGTTTTACAAAAGGAAACCCCCCCAAATTCGTAGCGTATTACTTGAAC